AGACTACTGTGTATGAGACGAGCTGTCTCAGCGTCTGAATAGAGGACAGGTATTGAGAGAGCACTCGATTTATCAGTTTGAATATGAGTGGAGTGAAAGAGAGCCCGCTCTCGTGAGATTTGTCTAGTACCAATCCCGTTGCCTGCAGACATAAGACAGGGAAGAGGAAGCCAAGTCTAAGCAGGGAGCATAGTATCCAGCCTGCATAGGCGCCAGTATGAGCCCAGAGCTCTTCTCCGCCCCCACCACCCCGCCCCCCCGCACTGTCGTCAGCTGCCAAGGCCCTGAGCTTAGTGGCACGAGCTATGAGTCTAACAGCTGTCAGCCAGGTCGACTGAAAACAGAATGCATTCTGCTGGTGTGCATTAGAAACGTGTTCCCACGATCATTTTCTTAGTGGTCACTGCTCATGTCGCCTCCACAAGAGTCGCCTAGTATGGGATACTCTGTCTTAGCTTGCAGCACCTCTAGGCATAAGCTGTCACGATTCATAAGTGTGGAGGTTGGTGTGTTTATTTTGGAGGCATTATGGAGTGTACCGCGAGAGTAGAGATACGGCAGCACGTCCTTTCGATTGTCTCGCGCTATCTACTTTTGCCAATCACCGATATTTGTGTGCTCTATGCACAGACTCTCTGACGCCTCTCTTGTGCCTTTAGGAAGATGAGATATCGTTATCCACCCGCTCTTACTGATGGGGAAACTGAAGTCTGATGAGGGAGGTCGATCATCGAACTGTCTGTCCGAATGTGTAGTGATGTTCTTGACATTCTCATGGGAGTTCAAGCCTGTCGATCTCTTGCCAGAAGTGCGACAAGTTATAGTGTGTCCTTGTGATCCCATCAGCGCGTCGAGAGTACATCTTGTGGAGTTATGTGGTTCCTACTTCTGATAGACTTGATCTATGCCCCCCCCCCCCCCCCCCCCCCCTTTCATCCCCCTTAACCCCCCCCCCCCCCCCCCCCCCCCCACCCCCCCCCCCCCCCCCCCCCCCCCCCCCCCCCCCCCCCCCCCCACCCCCCCCCCCCCCCCCCCAAAACCCACCCCCCCCCCCACACCCACAAAAAATTGTCCACCCCCCCAAAACCCCCCCCCCCCCCCCCCACCCACACCCACATCTTTATATACTCTTCCACACAACCCTGAAGTCTCATGCGAGGACACTGGAGTTAGGGAGATCTTCATGTTCTGGGTCCCTTTCTGTATTTCACTACCCATTTATTACCCCTTCAGCTTAATACCTCCCCTATGACTAGCTGCTATTCATTCTTCCCCATATGCAGGACTTTGAGAAAATACACTAGTGTGTCCTTCTACGTGTTGACTTATTTCACTCAGATAATACCCTCCAGTTACACATCCACGTCAGAAGCTAAATGGTGGGTATTTGGTCGTTTCTTATGGATGAGGAACATTCAGATTGATATACATGAACCTGGAACTTCTCAGAGGTAGGGACATCAGTAGACTCTAAAGGAGTACCGTACTCTCACTTCACCCACAGGATTTTTTTTGGGCGGGGACTACTGTATAACATGGCTGCTCAGAACAAATCCAGACGGTGCAGGTGGTCCCGGTGTTTTCATTGCATCTGTGATCTAATCTGGGGTAATTCCCCAGCTTGAGTGCACATTGTCTGGACGTAGGGCAGGTCTATTTTTAGACTCTTGAGGATCGCTCCAACACGATTGTTTTCCAGAGTGGCTTGTTCCTGTTCACATTTCCCACCAACAGTGCGAGAGGGTTACCCTTTCTACCACATCCTCTCCAACATTTTGGTTTCTATACTTGATGTTCATCTTTCTTTCTTACCTTTCTTTCTTTTCTTTCTATTATTTCTTTGACTTTCTCTTTCTTGTTCGCTTCTTTTCTTCTGTTTCTGACTTTTCTTTCAAGGTTCCTGCTCAGGAAACACTGAGGGCAGAGACTTAGTGCCAGAGGGAGAAGCGGGCTCCCTGTGGGGAGCCCAATGTGGGACTCAATCCCATTGGATCACGCCTATTTTTCAAAGGTAGATGCTCAACCACTGAGCCCCAGCACATGATGTCCCAGTGCCATAACCATTTTTCGAGTGGGATTTTTATCCTTAATTAGTCTGTATAGGCTCTATTCCTTCTTTTGGGATAATGTGTTAGAAATCATATTTCCTTAAAATGAACGCCTTGGTGTTTCAGTAAAGAGAGACAGCCAGCCTCTTGATATTCAGCTCAGGGGTCATTGATCTCAAGGTCTCTGAATCGAGGCCCCCTGTATGGGCCTTGCACTCATCAGAGAGTCTGCTTTATAGTTCTCTCTCTTCCTCTGCCTTTTTTTATTTTTTACAGACATTCTATTTATTTTTCATGCTTGTATTTTTTTTTTATAGTGAGTTTTTATCATGAGAATCATTATGGAGATGCAGAGTTTGTGTATCTTATGAGGAATTTGTGCGGGACCACCAAGTCCATATCTGCTGAGGGGATCCCTACTTATAGGGCTCGAAAACAGGATCTTTTCCCCATCAGGCATTTGAGCCAAAGGCAGATGCTGTAACAAATGACTCCAGTCCCAGGACTTTTGGCCCCTAATAAATAAATCTTAACCTATTTTTCCCCTTTTTCATTTATTTCATTCCTTTTTCATTTGTTTGCTGTTTTTTCTCTTACACAGTATAGGTTTTCATAAATATTTTATGGGATCAAGACAGGATGAGATTAATTATGCCTTGATTTTTTTGTGTGTCACTTCATGTCCCATATGGGAGAGGCTTTCCCCCACTTCAGGATTTTAATTTACACAACCTTTTTAAATAATTTTTTCCCAAGTCTTTGGTTACAGGCTGCAACCATTGAGGTGTGTAAGAAATTATTTATTGGGGTTTTTCACCTCTCTTACTTTTGGGGCAGTGAGATAATTTTTTTTTTTTTTAACAGGAGATTTCATTTTTTTATGTTTTCAAGTGGAGAACAGGCTCCCGTGCCCCCATCTTTGATGGGAGTCCTCGATTAGAAGGATCTTGTGGATCACATCCTGAAACCCATGAAGACCATATTTTTCAACATGGAGCCAGAAGGATGAAGCCAAGTCAAGTAAACTTCCCTCAATGAAAGATATCCAACATTGTGTTGTAGCATGAATCAGAACTTCATTCTTTTTTTTTGCATGAATAATACTTATTCATTGTTTGGGCCTCATTTTATTTATCCAGGAATTTAGTTAGTCAAACACCCATTTGGGTTCTTTCTCTCTCTCTTGTCCCTATTATGAATATGCTTTTGGCTAGCCAATATTTGTGTACAAGTTTTTTTGTACTTCGGGTGTGGTCTTGGAATTCTTTTCAATATTTCTTGTGAATATTTTGCTGGTGCAGGATATCCAAATTTCTGGTGCATAAATGGAGGGAGGAATCCTTTTCCTTGAGCAAAGTTTTTTTTTCATTTTATTTTCAATTTTTTGTAAAGTGGCTCCTGACATCTAGTTTCAGTTGCAGTGAGGAGTTGCTACCTATGTAGTGGTTTAGCAGCCCCCTACTTTCACAGCTCCCCCTTTCCCTGCTTAGGGTGCAAAGGTTTGTTATTTTTTTTTCTGTTTTGAGGTTCCCCTGAATTAGGAGTGGGTCCTTTTGTGTTCTTTTGAAGGCCACTCTTGATTGTTCCAATACTTGGACCTCACCTTTTGCCCAGCCCAGGGCCTGCTCCGGGCAGACCCTGGATGTTCTCAAGCCATCAGCCACTCCATGGGCAGTGCCCATGGCCCAGAACTTCCTCCCCTCTCCCACTTGAGAGCCTTTAGATCTTTAATGCTCACCAGGATGAAAAATTGCTTTCCAGGTGTGAATTAGAAACTGGTGTTCCCCACCTCATTTTTACTATTTTTCTATCTCCTTTTCCCACTGGTCCCTATCTTTACTCTTCTTGCTGAGCTCCTCTAGCAAAGAGGCACTTTGCTTAGTAGGGTTGGTGTTTATTTTGAGCTGAGTGTGAGATGGCCAGCAGGCCTTTCTTTCCTCTTTGTTTCTTACTTTGCGGGCATTCACACAATTTTACAGCAATTGAACCTCAGTGGCCTTTGTTGTTTGGATATCTTATCCAGAGCCCCACTTACGATGGTTAAAAAACTGAAACAGTTTTCTGGGGATGGATTAAACCATTTATGGAGAATATCTATCCCCACTTATCTTGTTTTCGGAGAATCTGTTCAAGCATCTTAAGTCATTCTGAACTCTGATTGCTCTCTCTGAAGATGACTGTCCTATTCACCCAGCTCAGCCATCAGGCAAGGGAGTTTGTGGTTCCAACCACTCAAGAGCCTGTTAGAGAGGGCTGGGAATGTCTGTTCACTCAGGATACTCATTAGCAGAAGGGTGGATTGATGCTTCAGGAGATCATTTCCCGGTTTGTTCAGCCACTGTGTTGAGGCCAGCTAGGTGTTCCTCTACCTCTTCCTTTCAGCAAGACAGAGGCTTTAGACCTTGGAGGAGGCAAATGTGAGCCCCTGATGGGAGACTCTTCCCAGCTACCTTGCCTTGTAGCTTGAAGACCTCAGCCTATGCCCAGTTGAGGGGGCTCTTTGTTTAAGCAGAACTTGTTTTTCTTATACTTTCTCTGCCCCCTTGCTGTTTTCTTGTTTGGCCACAGATTTTTTTTATTTTTTGGGATTCAGGGATCTGTGAATTTTGCAGGTCGTAATTTTGAATGGAGTGTTGCCTCTTATCACATTAGAAATGCGAGTTTGATGGGCAATTTACCAGATGGTTAGTATTTTAGTTTCTCTAAAGGATTAGGGCTTTTCTTGGCCTATAGGGGACTTTCTAATTTTTTTTTTCTTTGCCTTGCTTTTGAAGAACGTCGAGCTTTTTGGCAGCATCATCAAGCGAATCTTGCTAGAAATGAAGTCTCCTTGTCCATCTGCTGCAGGACAAAAGTAGCTACCTCTACCTCAATGAGTTAACAAGTGATTTTACGAATTTTTATTAAAGGTGTGAAAAGTGCTGATACTGGCATATCCCCTTCAACCCTGCGATGGCTGTGGAGGGTGAGTAAATTTGGAGGCTTCTGAGGCCTAGGTGGCCTTAGTACCATTACAGTTTATGACAATCTTGTTCAGAGTTTGGTCCAGGTACAGTTTTTAGTGCATACATCCTCAATTCCCATACATGTGATGGTCCATTCCCAGTTTGTTTACATCCCTGATCGAGATTCCAGTTGGATGAACTGATTGGCTCATTACCCTAACAATGGCCACCGACTCTTGGGCCACTAATTTCAGCTCTACTCCCACCCTCTCCCTTCATTCACCCTATTAAGCAGGGCTGAGAATGACCAGTTCCTTGAGGATGGGCCCTAGATGCCCTGCTCACACCCTAGCAGAAGAACTAGGGGTGAGGGGAAAGAACTCTCTTAGGTTGTCTTGGGGCTGCATGGACAGGATATTACAAAGTCCTTCATTTTATCAAGAGGCTGAGACAGAAAATGGGGCAAACCCAGGGCCAGATGTCAAGGGGTCGGGATGCTGGAATGACCAGGAAGCCAGGGGCTCCTACCTCCAAAATTTTGGCCAAATAAAGGTCACATGAAACTCATCAGACCAGGAGTGGACAGGGCATGGGCTCAGTGGGGAGGTACTCCAGTGAGTCGATCCCAGTCCTGACACTTATATTTTAGAGATTTGGTTTTTTCTACTCAGTTCACTGTTGTTCTTGCCCCCCTCACGTAGGATTTAAGTAGTACTGTTGGTACATATTTCTTCATCTTCCATACTGAATGAGCTCTACATTGTCGGCTCTCATATTTTAAACCATTCTTTAGTTACACACAGAAAGTGGGGGTTTTTTATTTTTTATTTACGTTTTTATTTTTAATTTTTAGCTAACTAAGCACCAAGCCAGCATGAAGATTTATTGTGTGGGGCTTGAACTCTGACCCTGAAATCAAGATTTCCAGAATTCGTTTTTACCAGAGATTGTTCTGAGCCACTTATTTTAGGGGACTAAGTGTTAATGAGTCGTTCCAACATCTATTTTGTTTTGTTTTTTCCTTTGGCCAATTTTTTATCTAAGCCAGATTGTTTGAGTGTAATTGCACCTCTTTCTTAATGCTAGTCATCTTTTTTCATGATTTTACCTTCCAGGGTTTTCTTATTACTGAAAAACTGATCATGTTTTATATCCATTGCCAGCATGTCGCTGGTTGGTTTGGTCCTTCTCTGTCTTTTGCCCTTTTAAAGCGTATTGACCTGTCTGTAGATGGCTTTGTATTACGTTGAAAACATTAAGCCAGTAGGTTGAACACCGTTGTTTAATATAAACCTACTGTCAAATTACTAGTTTTACAATTTCTAGTTAATCAAAAATGGGTTTACAATCTGCAGTTACATATTGTTCATTTGAATAGATAAACGATTCAGTTTGGCAAGAGTGGCTGAGAGATATAATCCTCAACATACAAAAATTAGTGAATTGCTTATGAACCTACAGTAACCAAATTAGGATCCTAAAGAGATACCATTGGTCTCAGTACTGAGAGCATATCCAGACTGGGATTTAAAAAAAATTGCTTAGCAAATGCATCCCCGGGGCTCAGAGGCCCCCTGGTTTAGAATCAGTCAGCCGCGCAAGTGCTTTATGAGCAAGACCATTCCTGGGTTTGGCCCTAGATCTACTGTATACATTTCTAGTTTGGAACTTTGGGCATCCCGGAGCTTCTTTAGGTGGGCTGAGGGAGAAGAAGAATAATTTTAGACTTAAAATGTCAAAGGGGATTAAGAGGTAAAAATTGTATCAAAAGTAGTGCCAAGATTCTTATATACCATTTTGCCCAGCTTCCATAATCTTAATTAACGTCGTACATGAACATGGTACAATGATTGAAACCAGGTGCTCACATTGGTGAGCTCTCACTTCTTACCTTATCAAGTGTTTTGCATTTTTACCATTGTCTCTATGTATCCAGTCTTTAAGTAGGAGGGTACATATTTTCTTCAGGATCCAAGCCAGGATCTCACTGGCATTTTTTTTTTTAGAAAAAATTTTAATTTATTAATTTGAGAGCTGGCATGGGGGTGGAGGAGGTCAGGGGAGAGGGGAGAGAAGCAGACTAGCTCCCTCTTAACAAAGCACACCATGACAACATCACTGGCTCGTTTCTTCATGAGCCACTGAAGATCATGACCTGAGCCAAATCAAGATTCACTTAATTTATGACTTTTTTACCCAGGTGTCCCTCACATGGCATTTTTTTGTCTCCTTAGTCCCCTGCAATTATACTAAAACAGGCCCTTCCATTTCTCATTCTCTTGTCTTGCATGACGTATTCAGACTGTAAGAAGAGTGTTCACTGCATTAGTTATTTACCATTTAAGGATGTCCCTCAATTTTGTTTAGTTTATTGGTATTACAAATTGGCAGTTGGTTTTTTTTCCCATGACCCAGAATAGATTATTGATTCCCTTGACCATGTATGGCTTATATAAGCTCAAGATACAACCTTGATTTTTAGAATTTTTATGAACTCTACAGTAAGAATTAGGAAATAAAGATTGAACGAGTGACAATAGAAAGCCCATTGACAGGTTTAAATCATGCTTGATTTGTTTTCCATGCTCATTGGATTTAGTTTAGAATTGCTGGTGGTGGCTTATGCTAGAAACCTTGAATCCAAGGGATGTCACCTGGCTCAGGTTTCTCTCTGACATGCAATGGTTGATACATTTTATTTCCCTTTGTAGTTAATTAAGGGAAAGTGTCTCTTGGGGGAGATAATTAGGAGACTTTATTGCTTGAGTATTCTTAATTTATTCCTTCAAAACTTAATTATCCTCAACCTACTGCTCTGCCATAATATAGTTGTAGCATCCATGATCCAAGTTGATCCCTTCTGATCACCAGTTTTTACGTGTAGCATTTGCGATTAAGGCATGTTTGACATTGTCTGTCTAATTTCCTCTCTGCCATTTTTTATCGAGGATCCGCTCACTTCAATATTAACAAATTTTTTATGAATTTGGAGGGTGCATGCATTAAAATTTAATGAGGAGGTTACTTTTTGTAAGATGGGTGTTCTATTTGTTTTTTCATTTTTTTCACCCTCTGATCTTTTATGCTTCTGGATCACAACATGGGAAAAATTCTAGACTTAGATTATCTTTTTACCTATGACGTTGTATCCATTTGTGGGATATTTTTTAATTTTATCCTTAGTACATCTCCGGCATTATAAAATTTTTTCAAATATCGTGGTTCCTCTGTTCTTTGCCCACCAGTTTGGTTTGTCTGATTAGTTTTAAATTCATAGATGCCTACCACAGGTTTCTGAGCCACACATTGGAGCAGGGCTCTCTTAGTCATTTGTGTTCTCTAGACCAGTGTCTTGGAACTTGCATCGCTTATTACCTTTAACTGCTTTAAAGTTGTGTTAACCTTGCTGAGCCTGTTTCTGCGTAGGACTCTATTTTTTGGCACTCCCAAGATGCTTGAGATTTAAAAGATAGCTTGTTTTGATCATTTTTCCTATCACTTATTTGCGTTATCCCAACTTATTATAATAATGGGTCTTTTTCTACGGTAATTTGTTTCAAGAATTGCTGAGGTACATCAGGTGACCTTGTGGAAAAGGGGTGTCATGCCTACACACACACACAACACACACACCACACACACATTTTTTATGTTCTTTATGATATTGGTACTAGGCTGGGATTTCTTCATTGTGTCTTGACTTCAGTATCCACAAGGGGTCTTTTTTGGTTAGTCCTCTGTTTTATTATCATTTTTAAGTCTTGTGTTTTAATGTGACTATGGTTTTATAAGTAGTAGTTACTTCGTGTTCTCTCTGTCTTGGGAGCTTGTTTCAGAATTGCGACTGCACTCTTAAGATGGGCTTTCAAGGCTTGGATTTAGGCCATGCATTGTTTTGGCAGCTGGAATTATGATTTGTTGGACAAGCGAGAAGCTCTCGTTTTGGGTATTCAATATGTGGTTTGCCTCTTTGTCGACACTTTTTCTCAGCTGTCTATGAGAGCATTATATTTGGGTTCTCTGTATGCAGGTGTTTCAATCCTTAACAGCCTTTCCACATGCTTCCTTATCATTGCAGAAATGTTTATCTGATTCATCTGCATTTCTCCTACTTCCCCTACAGTAATGATCACTTCTTTAGCAGCATCTAGGACTTGGAGTCCACTGAGCACCTGTACACATCTCCGTCAGCACACTGAACTTTCATGGTATTGTAAGGGCTTCCATTATGTATTTATTGTGGTGGCATTTAAACTTCACCAGATGAGTGAAACCTCAGTGCCGTCTGTATTGTCACAGATTAACAGTAAAGCTTGAAACTCTTATTTGGCACAGTCTTCCACAGGCTGGACTTTGGGGTTCCTGTTAGTTGCTCTTCATGTGTAATCCTTGCAGGAACAAGTGATCTGGGATACACCTGGGACTTAGGATCCATTCTGTTGCTTCCTTCAACTGCTCCCTTGGAGCACATTGAGAGCGGCAATCTGAGGACTCGGCAGTCTTGGGGGTATTGATGTTCATGTATGGAGTATGTGCTTAATTTTGGCTGTAACTGTTGGAAGTAAGCAACCTTTGGGTTCCCTTCTCCTCTGCAGATTGCCTGCAGCAGCATGGCTGGTACATGCTTGCTCAGTCCCAGGCCAGTGCTGACTTCCTGGGCAGCACATCTGTGAAGACCTTCCCTAGCCGTTGCTCCTCACACCTCTCTCCCCCAGGACCACAGTCTCAAGAAGAGACTCCAGAGTACCTGGTCTCAGTCATTCTCCAGGACTTGGTCTCCCAGTTGAGGTTAAGCCTCTTGACTTTGTGACCTTGAATGGTCCCACAGAAAGGTGGCCTGGGTTGACTTTGTGACCTTGAATGGCCCTTTGGTGTACGGAGCTGTTTCTTGAAAGGGGCTGAAGCTGGAGGAGTCCAATCTGTGCAGCACTGAGTACCGACAGTGGTGAGTGCACGGGATGGGGGTGAGTACCTGAGAGCATAAAAATACTTGTTTTAAGTGCTAATTGTGACTGGTACTTGTTTTGAGTACTTACTACCTGCCAGGCTGGAAGTACATTACCTCATTTAATCTCACAACCATTCTGCAAAAGAATATTTTGCAGATGTAGAGGAGGGAGATGCAGAGAGGTTCAGGACTTTTGCCAAGACACGAGAGGGTCCTGAGCTCAACCTACTCAACTCCAGTGCCTCTGACCTGACCCTAGCCTCCTTCCCTTCTCCTGTCCTGTCTCCACAGGCTGCGGAGTCTTTGCCATTAAACTTGCAGTGTCACCTGGGGCACATCACTACCTCTCAGGGCCTTGGTATCCTCACCTCTAAAATGTGCACAGTCTTATCATACTGTGGGTTCTTGGGGTGTCTCCAGAGAGACGCTGGGTTGAAGGGACCCTCCTATGTCTGCCCTCTTCTGCATGTGTTTGGTGTTGTGTTTATTGGACGAAGATTGTTTATCCCCCAGATGCCCACCCTGTCTGGTTGGGTTTTGGTACTGGCCTGACACTAGAAGAAAAAAATACCAATCATTGTCACTGTGGACATCTGTTACATTCCCTACTCTTTATTTTGTGTTTTTTCTCAAATTCATGTATAATGTATTCCTAGTCTTAAAGTTAATACTAAAGATGTATATAATTTAAGAGGGGAAGGTCCTTCTCTAGTATTATATTAGGATCTAATTTTAGATGCATTATATATTAGGTTCACAAATATAAGGGGATGTGTAGAACATTTTAAAATAAAAGTACAAAATCATCTGTGTACATATTATTCAGCAACTTCTTTATGGGGTATTTTTTATCATAGACTGTGTGTATCTTCATATTGATGGGTAATTGTCAAAATATCTAGTATGGTTGTGATGTAACATCTCCCACATCCAGCCCCATATTTTGCCCACCCAGGGGGATGCTAGCAATCAGTTTATGTTTTTGCCAGACTGATAGCTGAAATTGATGGGCATTGCGTTATTGCCACTTGGCATTTCTTTGACCATTTGGGGAGCAATCTGAGCATTTTTCATCATGTCCTGAAACTTGCTTTGGTGACTTAGTTGGCAGCTCTGTTACCATTGCTTTAGGGAATTTAATATCAAATTCTGCTATCATTAATATTACAAGCCTGTCACTGCCTTTGATGGGAATGTTATATATCATTCTGTACTGTACAAGGGGTGGTATGTGTGTGTGTACACAAACCTCTGGTTCAGTAGCAGGCCTCCCTCAGAGCTTCCAGTCCAGTTGAGGTGCTCTGACTTAGGCATCGTGCAAGAAAGCCAAGGGCAAGAGCTACAAAGCATCAAAAGAAGTTGAGGGAGAGGAAGAGGTCAGGGGAAAAGGGTGAACATTATATAAAAATTCAGATTTCAATGTCTATAAATAAAGTTTTATTGGAACAAAAGCCACACCCATTCATTCACATGTTTATGGCTGCTTCCTTGTTACAGTGACAGAGTCAGGTAGTTATGACAGGTATTTTATGGCCCACAAGGCTGAACACATAGTCACTGTCTGACCATTTAGGGAGAAAGTTGGCTGATGTCTGGGCTAGAAGGTGTTAGATACTAGGGCTTGTGAGGGAAGAGGGAGAAAACAAAGGTCTGTTGAGTACTTGTCTGGACTGGGTGCAAGGTAAAGTGCCAAACCTATCCTCCTTGGAAAAGAAGTATTTCTTCTATATGCCATATGATCCTTGCCCTCCTTCCTCCCTTTCTGCTACCAAGGTGTGAGGTGGAAGTGAGGAAGGGCAGAGAGGGGCGGAGCTTGGGCACAGTCTTAAGGTTGGCGTAGAGAGAAGAGTCTACACCTTTGGGAATGGGATCAGGGCCTGTTGGCAGGGTCCAAACCATTCTTTGGGATGTGGCCCAGCTGCCAACTGAGTCCCAGCTCAGCTGAGGGGTCCCCACTATACCCTGAGGACTAAAGGCTGGAGTGCCAAGATGGGAGGGTCGGGGTAACCAGGGTTCTGCTGGTCAGGGTGGGAAGGTGGATGTGGAGCTTGTGACTGCCCCTCCTCTGGCTCATGCCGCTCCTGGTGTGGCTCAGCAGCTCCGGGCTGGGGTTGGCCTAGTGGCCGCCTGCTGAGGGCTAGTTTACATCATCAGATGCTGAGCCTTGGGCTCCTTCCCTTCAGAACGTCCTTTAACAGCTCCAACACAGAGGATGTGGCCAGGGATATTGGAGGGAATTGCCCCAAAGGCTTTGGGGGAGGCTGTAGAATGACCACCACTGGCCAGCAGGCACCAGTGTGGTCCACTGTGCCAGTGTCCTCACCACTGGGAGTTTTGAGATCCAGCCGAACATCTGTGGACCACTCTCTGCTGGTGTGCCTTCGATCCTCCAACAGCCCCCTCTGCCTCAAGCACCAGGATTGTCCACATTTTGGAGATGTGGAGACTGACGCTCACAAATGGAGTGATTTACCGGTGAGTCAGTGGTGGGTGCAGCTATCAGCCCAGACTCTAAACCTGGGTGCTGATCAGCTTCCCGGTAGTTTTGGGAATATGCAGGAGAGCACTGGTAGGTACGTATCTCTGTAATTTTTTTAGTTACTGTTTATAAGCATTTTCTGTATGCAGGTATGGTATACACTTTTTTTAAAGGTTTTATTTATTTATTTGAGAGAGAGAGAGAGGGAGCACGGGCAGTGGGGAGAGGCAGAGGGAGAGGGAGACTTCACACTGAGCAGGGAGCCCAACATAGGGCTTGATCCCTGGATTTTGGGATTGTGGCCCGAGCTGGAGGCAGATGCTTAACCAGATGCCCCTGCTATACACTTTTAAAAATAAGTTTTAAAAAAAAAAAGTGAGTTTAAAAAGTGAGTTGATTAAAAAAAAGGCTCCTCACTTACAGGCAGTTTATTTGAGTGCCAAAATTGTGGGGTGGTGTGTAACTGAGTGTGGTGAAGTCTATCCCTGCTAGCGTCTTGGAACGCCCTGCGCCCAGCATGTCACTGGCAGAAAGTGGTGGGCATGGGGGTACATGGTGACTGTTGAGTAATGGAGTCCAAGGGATCCTCCCTCTGAGGTGGGAGCGGGGAGTCAGAACACAGCTGTAGTGCAGTGCAAATGACAGCTGGCTCCAAGTGTTCTTCCTCCACTCAGTCATGTTTTTGTGTGTGTGTGTGTGTGTGTGTGTGTGTGTGTGAGAGAGAGAGAGAGAGAGAGAGAGAGAGAGAGAGAGAGAAGAGAGAGAGAAATGTTTTAATTTCAGATTGATTGTATACTACAGAGAATAAGAGAACAAATACTCATGTGCCCAACACAGTGTCAGCCTTGCCAAATTTGCTTCTGATTTTACCTCTCTCTACAGCTATTGCCTTTCCTCCCTCCTCAGAAGCAAAACCACTTGTGTTGGTGTTGGCGTTTGTTTGAATCTCCACTCAGATTCTTAATTTTTTTTTACTTCCTTGTATAGTTAACCCTAGAAGAAACTAACAGCATCATTTTCTTTGTCTTTAAACTTTATATTATGTTTCTTATGTGTCACCATTTAACCTTTTCTTAAAAATTTATTTATTTTTAAGTGATCTCTATATCCAGTGTGGGGCTTGAGCTTACAACCCTGAGATCAAGAGTAGCATGCTCTAGACTGAACCAGCCAGGCGTCCTTACCATGTACCTTTTTTGCTTAATATTATGAAGATTTCTCTATGTTGGGTGTGTGTCTCTAGAGTGCTCATTTTAAGTTCTGTGTGCACTTAGAATGACACTCATTCTAAGTCAAATGAAAGAATTAATGTATCTCTTTTGCTAGTGCTGGATATATAGGTTGTTGACAATTTTTCCCCTTAAATGAGTGATGCCACAGTGAGCAATTTTTGTCTGTTTCCTAACATACATCAAGTGCTTCTTTAGGATATGCCCCTAGAATAGGATTTGCCTGACTGAAGGGTTTGTACATCCTTAATGAAACCTTTTTTTTTTTTTGCCAGATTTCTCCAAAATGGTTATATCAATATAATCTATCAGCAGTGCCCCAGTACCCATTCTCTGTATTGTAATCAACACTTGATATTATCAGACTATAATTTTTGCCCCTCTGATGGATGTAAGATGGTATCTTACCCTTACTTTGCATTATCCTGCATACTTGTAGAGATCAGCATTTTTTCACGTGCGGATCATTTTCTCTTTCCATAGGGTGATCATTATGGCCCAGTTTTCCAGGTCAGTCCCCACTTACACAGACTGTGTAATTATTAATAGCACACTTGGCATTTTCTTTTTTTAAGATTTTATTTATTTATTTGAGGGAGAGAGCGTACGAGTTGGGGGAGGAACAGAGGGAGAGAGGGACAAGCAGTCTCTGTGCTGAGCATGAGCCTGATGCAGGACTTGATCTCACGACTCTGGGATTATGACCTTAGCTGAAACCAAGAGTTGTATGCTCAATCGACTGAGGCATTCAGGCATCCCCACCCCTGCCATTTTCAAAAATGTCTCAATATAAATTTTAACATCATTTTCCTATATAATGTAAGGAACCTAGTTTTTCCTTTGTGTATTTGTGTCCACCTAAAAAAATCCTTTTCTACCCCACAGTCGTGAAAGAGTCTCCTATTTTTCTTTAGAAATACTAAGGTTTTGCTTTTTATTTATGGGTTTTCTTTCCCCTAGAATTATTATATATATGGTGTGAGGTAGGGAAGTATTTTTTCCATCTTTGATAACCAGTTATCACACACATGCTGTGTTTTCTCTCATTGTCATAGATCAAAGTTTCCAAGTATCTAAAAGTCTTTTTCTGGGTACTTTATTCTTTTCTTTTAGTCTATTTGTTTGCATGCTGAAAATGACATGGTTTTAGATGCTATAACCTTAACGTCTTCGGAGTATTCTAAATGGAGTAGGATTATGTGTTTCAGGGAGACAAGTTTATCATAGGAAAACAAGTATCAGGCCTTATGCCACAGTGTGGTTACGTGTTCATCAGACTTCGAAGGTGCATCTTGGTTCTGGGAACTGAGGTTAGAGGGGATGAGGGATTTGAGCCTTGAGGGAAGGAGAGGGCTTAAATATTTGGGTCATAAAATAAGATAAATATAGACATTCAGGATAAATTAATAGACATTCCTTAAATGTTAGAATATATAAGAGGGACTCCTTATCCCTGTTAGAACCAGAAGGGTGCCTGCTTTTGGCCCTAGGAGCGATCCTGGAGACCCGGGATCGAATCCCACGTCGGGCTCCCGGTGCATGGAGCCTGCTTCTCCCTCTGCCTGTGTCTCTGCCTCTCTTCTCTCTCACTGTGTGCCTATCATAAAAATAAATAAAACAAAAATAAAAAAAAAAAAAAAAAAAAAGAACCAGAAGGGACTTTTGAAGCTATTGGAGACTGTATGGAGTAGTTCGGCTAAGTGATCAGTCTTTGGAGCCTCTCAGACCCAGATTTGATCTTCACCAAGATTCTTAACCTCTCTGGATCATAATTTTAATTTCTTCATCTATATAAATGGGGGTAATAATGAGTTTTCCTCATAGGACTCCTGAGAGGACTAAATCAGATAGTGTACAGAACGGGCTTGGCAATGTCCTGGCATATAGCTGTACAGAAACTAAATGATAGTTACTTATTACCCTATTTGCTTGATTCTAGGGCCAACTTCTTCTTTTGCCACATTTTACAATTCTGAAATTAGAACAGGCTTTACTGTTATTTCCTGTAGTACTTGTTTTTTCTTCCCAGATCACTGTTTAGAATTTGGGAAGCAGAATATTTTTTATAGGATTTTTTTTTAAGATTGTATTTATTTATTTGAGAGAGAGAGTGAGAGAGCGTGTGTGCATGAGTGGGGGTGGGGTAGAGGGGAGAAGGAGAAGCAGATTACCTGCTGAGCAAGGTTCCTGATGTGGGGCTTGATCCCACCCTGGACCCTGGGATCATGACCTGAGCCAAAGGCAGACAGTTAGCCAACTAAGCCACCCAGACACCCTGGGAGATAGCATATTTTACACATCAGGAAATGGAGCTAACATGCTCCAAAACATCCAGGATTGCCCATCAAGTTGATTTGGTCTTCCTAGGAATCATCTGTATTGCTAATCCTAGAGAGAAGAAAGAAAGAGAAAAAACCCATCTTAACTTGGGTTGGGGATGGTTTATATGCCATGAGACACTGTAGGTAAATTTTAGTCGGTGTGCAAGGTGGAATCTGATGCCTTCCAGAAGAGGGAAGTTGAGTATCATTTAGAACTACAGATGTCCTCTGTCCAGCAAATAGCACCCACCAGGTGGGATGTGGTAGGTTCTGGAAACAGATTTAGGTTCTGCTCCTGGCTCTGCCACTTCTTAGTTGTGCATGCTTGCCCAAGTCAGGTAACCTCTCCGACCCTACCTCCTCTTCTCAGCGGGGCTCAGGATCCTCAGCTGCCCCTGTCACAAACTGTTGACTTGCACTGAGCTTCAGGTGAGTTAATACCCGAGCAGGACTTTGCCATAGGTAAGCACCCAGTGAATGGAAGCTGCTAGTTCTTGTTTCCCAGAGGTATGCCTCCCCCCTCCTACCACCTTGCCCCAGTTTTGCTTGGGATTGCTCATTCATTCATCCCCTCCCCTATAGAAATCCTGCACACTCTTCAAAGTCCGTCTTAAATGTTATCTCCTGATTCAGACCTTTTTTCACCCTCCCCCCTTCCCCATTCTCTGAGTGTTGCCCAACTTTGGATCTTTGTTGTCTCTTCTGGAGGTGTTTCAAATTCTGCCTTCTATAAGAGCTTCTCCTGTGTGGTATGGTATGCCCCAGACTGCCTACCTTTGAGGGCAAGAGTGTGTCTTAGTTTTGCAAACCCTATAATTGTAGCAGAGAACAGCAGTATAAAGAATAGGAAGTCACATTTAAGCACTTGCTGAGTACCTACTGTGCGTTACACAGTGCAGTGGTGAGCAAAGGAGACACATGTTGTGCCTTCACAGAGCCCAATTTCCGTGGCTCCCACCCACATCCCAAAATGATGCTGATGAAACAGAGAGGTGCCCCGTGCCCTGGGTCAGTTCCACTTTTGTGACCTTGCTCCTCAGTGTGTGTTACCATGAACCATGGCCTTCTGATGGCACTGCACTGTGTGTGAGATCTGGGCTTGGGGAGGATGGCCTGGCCCCGGTGTTGGTATCGGGGCAGGCATGTGAGGGAGGGGCTCCAGAATGGGTGTGCATGGGAGGAAGGGACAGGGACTGGAGATGGGAGAGGTGGTGGGGAAGCGCCTGAGTCAGGTCTCTGCAGCAGGTGGAGGAGGCCATAGCCCCGGCCTAGGGACCCGCTAGGGTGGATTCCAATCTCTGTGTTCAGCCTGGGATGGGGCAGGTGGGGCCTCCGGTGTGCATGAGCTGGGGCTGCCCTGCAGAGCCCAGGGTCGGTATTAATTGAGCCCTGGGGCGCCTGTAAACCTGTGGTGATGACCACTTGGGCCTCAGGCCTCATGCCAGAGCTGGCTACGTTTTTTTCTTTGGAGAAGGTGGAGGACACTGGAAAAACCAGTTAGGGTGTGTGAGGTTCCATTTTGTGTTGCTGTTAATGGAGTGTTGGCTCAGGAGCCCGGAAATGTATGTAAAAATCTGGCTTTTTCAGAAAGCTAGATGTGTTGGTTAGGTCAGCAAGACCCTTCTATGAGTTGCATCTCCTGAACTGGCAAGTGGGCAGGACAAGAGTTTGGGGTTTGTGCCTCCTCCCTCTGATGGGAAGGGCCCCCAGCACATTGTCCTGAGGGGGATGGGGGCTTGGTGCATCGCTGTGTCTGCTGGTCCTGTCCCAGGGGCTGGTTGAAGCTGAGAAGGGCGCTTGCCGAGTGGGTGTTTCTCTGCATGGTCAGCCTCATCTCCAGGCCTGGAGGGAGCCATGGGGACGAGCTCTGTGACACACAGCCCTATGTCCATTCTGCTCATCTCCCAAGTCCCTAGGATTCATGTGGCACTTCGTAGTAGTTGTTGGTAGATATTTGGAATGAGTGATTTAATTGCATGTTCTTTGGTTCTATTATTCATTGCAAGGAGTAGTATATTAGCTTCCTGTGGTTGCTTTAACAAATTACTACAAACATGTTGGCTTAACATGAAACACCACAAGTTTATTTTCCCATAGTTCCTGAGGCTAGAAGTCCGAAATCTGGTAGGGCCGTGGTCCTTTTTGGAGCTTGAGGAGAGAATCCATTCTCTGTATCTTCCAGCTTCTGGGTGCTCCAGGTGTCCCTTGGCTTGTGTTCCTCCAATCTCTGCTGGTCACGTCACCTCCTCTTCTCTCTGTCTTCTCTGTGTGTCTCTTACAAGGACACTTGTCATTAGATTTAGGGACCTCTAGATAATCCAGGAATATCTCCTTATCTCAGTATCCTTAATTTAATTGCATCTGCAAAGACTGTTTTCCAAATACAAGGTAACATTCATAGGTTCTGGAGATGAGGATCTGGATATATCTTCTCTGGGAGGGAGCAGCATTCCACCTGCCACAGGGGGTCTTAGTATTTTTTTAATGGCTGTTTTAGCTATTTTAAAACTGCTTGCCACTGGGTTTGTGCTGTTCCTAATTTGTTGTTTGCATTTAAGTTTCATTCATATATATGCGTGTGTCTATACATATACATATAAATACACGTGTGTGTATATATGTGTGTGTGTATATATATATATATATATATATATATATATATAGAGAGAGAGAGAGAGAGAGAGAGAGAGAGAGATTTTAGTATAGGTAGATTTCCCTTTTGCCCAATTTTAGTTTCAGAAAATCCTTCTCTATTGAGTGTCTGGTATGATTCATGTTCACATAAAACCTTAAGAAAGTTGACTTTAGTCCAGTGATAACTTGTTTTGCTGTTTGCTATGAGTTGAGTAAAACCTCAAAACCGAGGGAGATCTATGTGAGACTTTTAGTTGAATTGCATTGAACCATGGTCAGGCTCCTGGTTCGTTCATTTGTCCCTCCCTCCCTCCCTCCCTCCCTCCCTCCCTCCCTCCCTCCCTTCCTTCCTTCCTTTCTTTTTTTAAAGATTTTATTTATTTATTCATGAGAGAGACAGAAAGAGAGGCAGAGACATAGAGGGAGAAGTAGGCTCCCTGCGAGGAGCCCAATGCAGGACTTGATTCCCGGACCTCAGGATCACAAGCCATGCCAAAGGTAGATGCTCAACCACTGAGCCACCCAGGCATCCCTAGGCTCCTGGTTTCAATGATGTATCATACTTACCTCAGATGCCACCACTGGCGACACTGGGGGACAAGTATTCAGGACCCCTTTGTACTATTTTTGTTACTTCTTGTGAGTCTATCCTTACCTAAAAATTAAAAAAAAATTTCCAGCAGCCAATCAGATTTACCAATACCACCACTAAATCATTTTCTCTTAATTTGTAAAACATCCTTTATTAAGTTGTGAAATGTGTATGGGCGTTTTAGAGCTGTGGTTAACACTTAATTTGGGAAAAACTGACATCGTTCAGTAAGTGGTCTTCCTGTCTAGGAACATGGCGTATCCTATTTATTCAGACTGTATTTTATTTCCTCATAAAACATGTAGTTTCATCCAGGTTGTTCATGGTTGTAATTCATAGATTCAGGTTCTCCCTGTTACTAAGGATGAGTCTTTTCTCCATGTGTATTCTTTGACTAGCTTGTGCTGGTTATATGTCACCAAATAGAATCCCCACACCCCTTAAATACATGAAATTCTTTTAAGTTGGGAAAATGCTTTTCATTCTGCAATTAGAGACAATGTTTAACAGGCTTTTACTCATTCCTTTAACCTGCTCTTGGGAAGGGTATGGTCAGTTATTTACTGTAACATGGATCTGAGTGGGTGGCTGTGTTCTCCATCCAAGTGACCCGGGGGGGTGGGCAGGGGCAGCCTTTCTAAAGAAACATGAAGCTCTGTTCTTAACATTAACTCCATTTTGTTGAATTCTCTTTCTTTGAAAACTGTAGAGGTGCTGTGTTTTGGGGGACACATGGTATGCTACCTAGGGTGTCTTAGGCACAACCAGGCTGGGACAAATGGGGGTGTGCAGTCCAGAGAGCCATCTGAGTTGGCCATGGACTGACTGCTCTGTCCCCTGGGGCCGTGAGGCTTGGGTGGTCACTCAGGAGGTCAAGAAGGCCTCCCTCTGGGTGAACTCCAGGTTTGAAACCCATCAGAAATGGAAAATGTACTGTTAACCCCCTTCTAGGCCAATCTTATGAAATCCAACTGCTGGAGAATCAGAAGTTGGGAGACTTTCAAGATCTGAACACAAAATATGTCAAGGCAAGGCTGTGGGGCCACCCTCCCTCCCCAGGAGGTCTTGGGGGTCTGAGGGGTCTGGGCTTGCTGGTGGTGGGGGTCAGGAGTGCCTGGGCGGTTTGGGGAGAGCCCTGGAGTGGGAGGGGTTCCTGGTCCCTGGAGCATGTTGTCCAGGCGGTTGAGGGCAAGCTGGCAGTGCTAAGAGCTGGAGGGGCGTGGGCTGATGGAGTGGGCTCTGGGCTGGATGAACTCAGGTTTGAGCCTGGCTTTGCCACTTACTGAATCTTCCTGAGCTTTCAGTTGGCTCATTGGCACAAAAAGATATATAGGTTAGCTGTGTATGTAAAGCACTTAGTAATTCTGGAAAAGGGGGATAGTCCTCATTCTCACTGTCCTATGATTGGGGTTCTGAGGGGGGAGAAGCCTGCAGAGCTTGAGAGCTGGGAAGGAAGGCTCTGGAAGGAGAGGTCTTAGTCTTGAAAGGTGGGAGATTTTCCCCGGTGGGAAGTTCTCTTGGGTCCTTGTCAGCCCCACACTTAGCTGTCTCCTACTGGCTTCTCCTCCCTAGAGCATCATCCAGGTGGTTTTCCACGACCGCCGACTGCAGTACACAGAGCACCAGCAGCTGGAGGGATGGCGGCGGAGCCGGCCCGGACACCGAATCCTGGACATTGGTGAGTCTGCTGGGCCACGCGGGGCCCAAGGGCACTCCAAGTTCATTGGGAACCCCAAGAACATTGGGGTTCTTCTTGGATGCTGTCGGATGCATGCCTCTCTAGGACACTTTAGTGTACCCTTGCCTCAGGTAAAACACTGTGCGAGCTGGCACCAGGCCTGCCCTCAGGGATTTCTAACTCAGAGCTCTGCCATCAGGGATTTCAGGGAAAGCATTGCAGAAGGCCCTGCCCTAAAGGATTCTGATCTGTGATGAAGGGAAGCATGGGCATCACGGGGATGGGCAACAGAAATTGAGTTTTGAGGTCTTAGGCGCTGATCCATAGTCTTTTACCTGTAACTCTGGGAGCCAGGTGTGTCTTGGAATTTAGAAGTTTTAGAATGGCAACAGGGTGTGTCGATCCCTAGCTCCAGGTAATGCCTCTGGCAGGCCATCCAGTACACTAATATTTCTGCAGCAGGGTAAAATGTCCGTTCACCCAAAATGGGACAAAGAACTCCGAATAGCTTTGTGGCAGTTCACGTTGGGCTTTCTGCCAAATGAGTTATGCAAAACTTAGTTTTCAGAACTTTCGGCATTTCAAATTGTGGTTAAGGAATTTGGACCTGTAATGAGAGTCCTTCCCTAAGCCTCTGGGAGTGGCTGACAATTGCACTTTTGTGTATGTGTATGTGTGTGCAGATATTCCACCGTCTGTTGGTATCTTGGACCCCAGGGCCAGCCCGACACAGCTGAATGCAGTCGAATTTTTGTGGGACCCTTCAAAGAGAGCCTCTGTATTCATTCAGGTAAGTGGGAGGGAGGGTGTTCTTGGGGGAAGCCAGAGTTTTGGGGCCTGCATGCATGTCGTTCCTCAAAACAGTCCACCTGCAGGGCCCCAACGGGCTCCTGTTCTATGTTGCGGGGATGTACGTTGAAGGAGAGGAGGCTACAGGAGTGTGGCTCAGTCGTGGAGCTAGTTGGTCCCCAGAGCTAGGAAAGGACGTGGCATGTTGTAGAATACTGTGTGGGTTTTGCTTAACAATATGTAAGCTTGTTACAAAATAAGTGTGCCCTCGCGTATATAATAGGTAATAAATTTTTTTCCATGATAGTTTCTATGATTAAATTAATTGTTTCATGATCAAGCACCTGGCATGGGTCCAGGAGCCTGGCGGGGCCGCCGTGCTTCTGGGCTGACACGCACTCTCTCGTTCTCTCTCTATGTCCCTTTCTGAACCTCTTAGTTTTTTCACTTGTCTTATAAATCAGATAATGAACATAAAGTCATTATTGCAGTGCCTGGTCCATAGTAATTGCTCAGTAAAAGTTAGTGATCTTTTTTTTAACATGATTATAATATTCTTACTGTACTTTAAAGTTATTATAATACTACTGTATTAGCACAATAATATATATTATTGGAGTATTTATAGTATTCTGATAATAAATATGTTACCCAGTGCCTTTTTCTGTAGCACATACTTACGTAGAAACATAGAAATGGCTCCAACTTTCTGCTCCTGCTCCTGGCCTGGCCCGAGTAACTCGGACACGCACCAGGCGGGGATCCCTGCTATGCAGTCTGTGGGATCTGCCAGGGGAGAGGAGGGAGTGAGGGTCCATGGGCCTGAGCGATGGCGAGGACGTAGCTGGTCAGGCAGGGCCTCTGAGGTCGAGGGACAAAGGGGAGAGGGTGTGCCCTTTATAACAGGGGAAGGTGGAGGGGACAGAGAGGGCATCACCCTGGTGGAGTGTGCGTGGGGAGTGGGGAGGCCGAGGCAGCTATGGACCTGATGGTGCGGGATGGAAACCTCCATTTGGCGAGGGGCCCTTGGGGAGCCCAGGGCCTGTCCCCACTCCTCTTCTTGGCTCTGGCCCACATTTCCCCTTCCAGGTGCACTGCATCAGCACGGAGTTCACCACCAGGAAGCACGGGGGTGAGAAGGAGTGCCTTTCCGAGTGCAGATCGATACATTTAAGCAGAATGAGAATGGGGAGTACACAGAACACTGGCACTCGGCCAGCTGCCAGATCAAGGTGTTTAAGGTAGGACGTCCTTGCCACGTTCCACCTGTGGCCGCCGAACCCACGGGTCCCTGCCTGTGCTGGACAGTGACAGCAGTGCATTGACCTTTGGGATTCCTGCTGGAGGCCCAGCAGGGAACTCGGCGTCCTGTTGGCTTGGGGCTTCTACCTGGACCCCTGAGGAGCATGAGCCACGCGCCCTGGGGTGACGGGCCTGCCCGCTTCGGGTGTCCTTTGGTGTGGGGCACCTTCTGTCCTCCGTCATCACAGATGGCTGTGCCCAGCTCTGCCTTGTAAGACTGTCTGGATTTGCACGTTTTCAGGTTTTCCTTATCTTCCCCAGCACTTTGTAGTTGGCCACAGATTCTGTAGTTGCCGGTTTGATTCTCCTTAAAAATCAAGTCAGGACACCCCGTCCCGTGCAGGAGGCCCGGCCACAGACGTTCCCATGGAGGGCCCAAGGCCCTCTCTCCCTCTGCAGTAACCTCCTGTTGGAGAAAGAAACATGTTTGGAGGAACCGCCTCTCTTTTCCTTTCTTGCCCAGCCCCTGCCTATTAACTACTTTCCTCTGTCTGGACCCATACTTCTGAAAGATATTGGCGGCCAATGATGCAACTCAGGGTCCTGCATGGCCTGCGGAGTTGCAGGGTCGCAGCAGAGCCTGTGGCATCCACAAGGGTGAGGGAGGGGCGGGCCCCGGCTCAGTTAGTGATGCTGCCCTAGGTGGGAAGGTACTGGTTGTGGTGGGAGCACGCGATTGTCTTTCGTGCTAGAGCGCCAGCACCCTTCAGAAACCTGCTTCAGGACGGCGATGCCTTGAAATCCAACCTGGGATATTGGTTTCCTGTTGCTGCTGTAACGAATGGCTACACGTTTAGTGGCTTCAAACCACATGCACTTACTACCTTTCAGGCCCCAGGGTCAGAAGTCTGATGGTCTCACTGGACTAAAGTCAAGCGTTGAGGAGGAGGGCTGCATTCTTTTCTGGAGGCTCCCTCTCCTTCCCTTTGCTGCCTTCTAGAGGCCTCTGCATTCCTCAGGCCACATCCACTTGTCCTAGGAGCTAGCAAGAGTGGCTGGGCTCTTCTCTGGTCACATCGCCCCAGCCTCCTCTCCTCCCTCCCTTGTCCACTTTTACGGACCCTGTGATTGTGCTGGACCCCCTGGGATGACTCAGGATAATCTTCCTGTTTCCACATCACACTGCTAGCAATCCTAATTCCACCTGCAGCTTTACTTCCTTTGCCTTGTGAAGTGACAGCCTCGGGTTCTGGGGATTAGGATGTGGCCATGTTTGAGGAGCCCCTGTGCAGCGGGCACCATGGCCTGTGGTCTTAGGTGCTGTCTGCTACAGGGTCTCGTGGGTCTGATTTCCCATGGACAGCCCCACAGCTGTGTGGCCGGATGTCTTTGCCTGGTCCTGGTCACACCTCTGTCCTCATCATATACAGACCACATCTGTGGTCCTCGGGTCCAGTGGCACCCTGTGGATATCTGGGGCTCAGATGCAGACCGGCAGCAGGAGGGAGGGATAGTGTCTGTATGACGCCCCCTGCCCCTCCCTGCAGAGTGCCTTGGCTTTCCCAGGACCCCCTGCCAGCTCCCCTTTCTACACCTCGAGGAAGAAGCTCAGGGGTGAGGACTCTGCTCACCAGGCTCCTGGACCATACACTAGCTATCACTGAGGAGTTGGTCTGGAAGCTGCCTTGTCTGAGTGACCCAAGGAAGGCTTTGGCATCTCCTGCAGGGGCGCAGGGGCCCCTGTCACCTGAAACTGGCTTCTCGAATGCCTGAGGAAGTGTGGGCACCCCACGCACCCAGCCCTGTCACAGAGGCAGTTCAAGCAGGTGTGTGCAAGCTCCGGGTGGAGTCTGGCTAACCTGGCTGTCATTTTTCCCCCAGTCACCCCCGTCACTAGAAGCCTCCCACTTGTTGGAGCCAGGCCCTGGGGCTGTATGGGGGTGTCGGGGCCTCTGACAGGACAGGCAAGACCCCTCTCTGACCAGCCAGCTCTCCACAGGCCTCACCAGGCCGAGTGCCTTCCCCATACACAGGCTTGCCTCGTGGCTTCTGGAAGGGGAGGAAGAGCCTCTTGTTAGGGCTGGGAGGCAGGTGATGGGGTATGGATACTGTGCCTGGCTCCTTCTCTGGACACTGGATATGTCGTTCCTGTCCCCAGAGGACCCCCTGCAAACCGCCTCCATCAAATGTGGGTATCACATCACCCTGGGGGCCGTTTTCTAAAGTGCCCTTGATCTGGAAACCAAAAGTTGTGTGGCCTGAAGAAGGTGCATACTGGGATGAAAGTCCCTGAAGGTGACACTGAGCTTGAGGACAGGTGGTTTTCACTATCTGCGCACCGTGCACAGTCCGCTGCATGTGCGCTGAGACCATTCAGTTCTGGGGCTCTGGGGCTGCTTGGAGTCTTAATGTCTGAAGCCACCAACCAGGCTGTGAACTCACAGGTGATAGTCACAGGATGTCCAGAGTATCCGCATGAGCAGGGCCACCATGGCCAGCCTGGTGGCGGTACATCCCTGGGCATTCTCTCTTGGATTCTTTGCCTGGTCAGTACTTGGTTCTACTTCGAGTTTTTTTTTTTTTTCCCAAGGCCCCAAGCAGCCAGAGCAGGTTTCTCTCCATTCTTGACAAGTCACTTGTGCCTCAGTTTCCATACCTATAAATGAAAGAAATGGTAGTGCCTGTGAGACCTGGGCCCCTCTGCAAGTTGTTCACGTTTGCTGGGCGCCCAGGATAGGCTCTGTGAGGTTGGAGGTCTTACCCTGTATGGGGCGTGCAAACAGGGAGCTGCAGATAATCCTGGGAGTTGGGAGGTCAGGAGGCCTTCGTGACACATCCAGGATTTCCCAGCATGCAGGTGCAGACCAGACTCCCAAACTCCCAGCAGCAGCTTTGACTTCTTCTACTTTCTTTTGCCCTCCACCCGTAACTCAAGGAATGCACTGGGATTTGCTGTGGCAGCCAAGGGTTTTGTCTGTGGTAAAGATTGTTTCCAAGCATTTTCCCCTGAGTAACTGAGTGGCAGGACCCCGTAGCAGGCTGTGAGTTCCCTCAGGTGAGGAAGGGGAGGGGCTCCAGGAGGAGGATCATGTGCTTGACGCCTGGGAGGTGAGAGAGATGCCGACCTGTCCGGAGATCCCGCCTGGACTCCTGGGGCCTGGGGAGAGTGCAAGTCTTGGGACCTGTCTCTAAGTCCTGGGTCTTTCTCTGATAGCTGCCTCTGCCCACTTTGGACTAATCGGATCCCCTGTGCTCTGTACTTGTAGCGAAAGGGAGCTGACCGGAAACAGAAGACCGACTGGGAAAAGATGGAGAAAAGAACTGCCCAAGAAAAAGAGAAGTACCAGCCATCCTACGAGACCACCATTCTCACAGAGGTGAGCCGGCCTGGTGCCGGGGTGCACCTCCTGGGGCCTTCTGCCCGGAGCAGGATGACTGCGTGCTCTTGGTTTAGGTTCTTGGGAAATTGCCCACCTTGGGTGAATGCTGCTTTGGAAAGTGCCTATAAAATTGTGGCAGATTCCTGGGTCCGGAGCTGTGTTCACATGATAAGGCCAGGGGGCCAGGAAGGTGTTTCAGAAATATCTTCCAGTTCTGTGCTGCCATTTGTACTTTCCAGAATCAGGTAATTTTTTTTTTAAATAAAGGTCCAAAATTCAAAAGGTAGAAGAGAGTGTATCTACACTAGAAAATGCCTCTCCCAAAACTGTCCTAGCCTCAAGCTGTCTCTTCCCAGGGCAGCTGGCATCTCTTGGGTCCCCATGTATCTGGCCTAGCTTTCTCTGCCGATGAAGCCAATTCATACATGTTTGCCCCACGCCCACCTTTTTTATACCAACAGTGTCCATAGACATACTGTTCTGTAACTTGATTGCTTTATTTAATAGCCTGTCTTGGAGTCTGTTCTCCATCTGTTCATAAAAAGCTTTCTAGTTCTTTACCCAGAGGCGTGGTCTTCGTTGTATAGATAGATGGCCTGCTGGTGGACATTTGGTGCTCTCGGGGCTCTTGCCGTTTCACACATGGTGCAGGGAATGACCCTGTGCATGTGAAGTTCTGCATATGGTAGAAAGCTCTGCAGGCTTCATTCTCAGAGCAGGCTTACAGGTCGGGGGTGTTGACTACTTGCCGCTTTGTTGTTTGAGTAGAGACTGGAACTCGTCTCCTCCTAACCTGGACACTGACAGCACCTGCTCTAAACCTCCTTGTGTCCAGCGTACTTCTGAGACCCTCACTGTCACAGGCTCTTCTTCCCCCTGTCACTGGTCACTGCTGGTGCCACATCTTACTGGGGTCTGTTGTGTGTTTTTTTTTTCTTTTTTACAATTTTATTTATTTATGAGAGACACAGAGAGGCAGAGACCTCGGCAGAGGGAGAAGCAGGCTCCATACAGGGAGCCCAACATGGGACTCAGTCCCAGGACTCCGGGATCACGACTTGAGCCAAAGGCAGACACAACCACTGAGCCACCCAGGCACTCTTCTGTTGTATTTTTTAAGCAACTGTTCCCCAGTGTGTTCTGCAATCAGCCCAGCTAGTGGGCGTTCATTGAATAATTTGACTTGCTCAGAAGGCCCTCCACAGATGCAGGAGGCCCAGCCCCAGCTGTGGTAGAGTTAAGGCTGTGTTAAGGATGAGGCCCAGGGCACAGAGCATCTAAGAGAATAGTGGCCGGTCCTGGCTGGTGTGTGTGTGTGTGTGTGTGTGTGTGTGTGTGTGTGTGTGTGAGAGAGAGAGAGAGAGAGAGAGAGAGAGAGAGAGAGAGAGAGAGAAGCCATATGCAGAAAGGTATTTGCAACAAGATACAGTATGGAAGGTAATTTTGCAGCGGCATAGACATGTTACCAGTGTTTTATCTGACACAGGATAATAGTGACCAGAGAGCCCTGGTGCAGGAAGAGCCTGTCTAACTCTCAGCAGCAAAGCAGTGCGAGGACCTGCATTTATGAATCAGAGCTCAGACCAGTTAGTTTTCCCCTGGCCCCAGTCCCCTCACGTGCGGGCCCTCCAGGGTGCCCTCCACGCTCCCACTGCCCTCTGCCTACGGACACCTTTCCCTTCCAGGCCGAGCCTCAGCCTCTCTGCTCCTGACTCTCTTCTGTCTTCCCCCTGGTGGACGAGAGGTCCGGGGGTGCTTCAGACAGCGTCTGTCCACGCCCTTGTCAGAGCGTGGTACAGTTGGTCAAAACCCCCGCCTGGCCCATGACCTTGTAAGGTGACTGTCAGCTCTTCCTCCTCAGCTCCGGGATTTACCACCAAGAAATTCCAGCCCACATGCACAACCGAGTTAAATATTTACCAACCTGTGGTTCGGTGGGTGATAGGAAATCTTCAGGAATGCTTCGAATTGGCCCTCTCCAAAGCGGTGTCATCACAGGGAAGGGGAGAAATGAATACTTTGTCCCCTGGCTTCCCCAACTGGCAAAACCTGTACGTCTTTGCTTTCTTTGGGCGATTCTCTCCTATGTTCATCCTTGGCTTCTGCTCAAGAAGTTCCTTGAGGTCGAGGATCACGTCCTCCGTGTTTTTTGTGTATCCCTTAGCTCCTAGCAGGACGGCTGATGTATAGTAAACACGCATCGACTGATGCCTGAGAGGGCTGGCTGCTCCTGGAATGTTTCAAGTAGTGCAGGTTTTAGTACTGGACTTTTTTGTTTTCGATTTATATTTAACTATTCATTTTAGGGGGAGAGAGAAAGAGAGAGAGCAGAGGGACAAGCAGAGGGAGAGGGATAAGCAGACTCCCTGTTGAGCGTGGAGCCTGATGCAAGGCTCAATCTCATGATCCTGAGATCACGACCTGAGCCAAAACCACAAGTTGGACGCTTAAGTCACTGAGCCACACGGGCACCCCACTACTGAACCTCACGGATGATTTTTGTTTGGAAGTTATTTGTGTCCAGTGCTCCCTCCTTCATGCTTGTACACGCACTTGTCTACACCTGGTAAAACCTGCCTCTGGGCAGTTGGTCTGTTTTGTTAGTTCTCTTTTCTTAGGGACCCAGATGACCGACGATGTTTCTTTCCCTCATTGGCTCAACACCTAGGAAGCCCACAGAGACACATGCCTGCCTTTGCTTGCTCTGGGAATGACTGAATTTTAGGTCTTCTCTGCCGCACTCAGTTTCTTGGGCATGGCCCTAGTACCCATGCTTCGCTGGCTCACGTGGGCCCTGGGAGGATGTGGGCTAAGTGTTGAGGGGTCAGGGGCTTCCCGTGCTGGCCTTGATGGATGCTGGCATGGGAGGGATAGGAGCTGGGTCTGCAGCTCTGTGGCCTGAGTTGCTCCTGACCACCATGGCCCTCGAGTCACTACCATCCTGTGCTCTTTCCACAGTGCTCCCCGTGGCCTGACATGGCCTACCAGGTGAACAGCGCCCCATCTCCAAGCTACAACGGCTCTCCAAATAGCTTCGGCCTTGGTGAAGGGTATGTCTGTCCTCTTTCCCTTGAGAGCCCCTGGAGTGATGATGGGTGTAGTCTCCTTTCTTGGTCTTTGTGTCTTCCTCTCTTTGGTGCACTGGCATCGGTTTGGGCTTCGGGGTGGCACTTGTAATATTTGCACAGCTTTCTGTGCTCAGATGTGCTTCTGTAAACATCATCTGCTGGGGCAGCAGCGCAGAACCCACCTTCCCACCCCAGCTACCTGCAGAAGCAGGTTGGCCTGTGGGTTGCCCTTCAGGGCAGAATGGCCTCCTAGGCAGATGGGGCCTAAGGAGGCAGCTGTTTAGGGGGCTCCAGTGACTGTGAGGGGCCATCCTGGCTCTTTCTGTGGTCCCTATGCACATTCTCTGGGTAGCATAGGACAGCTCAGGATGCTCCCTGCCCTAGGGTTCAGGGCTTGTAACAAGGAGCAGCCTCACACTTGGTCACCCAGCTCTGCAGATGCATGATGGGCCACACTGACTCAAAGGTGACAGTAGCGTGGGGACTGGCAGGCATCGGTCCAACCTGTCCTAGGCTTTGCGGCACAGGAAGGGCTCACGGCACCACTGTGGTGGCCATGCATGTCCTGATCCTGTTGTGGCAGGCAGCAGGGAGACACCAGGCAGACCCAGCAGGTAGGCGTGGAACCTGTGGGCTCCTCACAGCCCGTGCTTGGCATACAGAGAAGCCACTGATGGGAGAGTGAGTGTCCATGAACTTGGTTTCACAAGGTGAGGAGGGGCCTCCTTGAGAATTGGGGTGGCATAGCCAAGGTGTCACAGATTCGGGCGGACCAAGTGTTAAGTCCCACCTTTCTGGGGTGAGTTCCTTAACCTCCCTCAGCCCCACTTTCTCCACTACCAAAGGAGTGAGGATTCCACGCAGGGCCGGGGGTAGGGGTGGGTGTGCAAGGTGCCCAGCGCCTTACAGGCACTGGGCAAGGTGCATCTTGTTACCGATGACGGTGTGAGGGTCAGCCCGGTGAGGGCCTTGCCTTTATTGTCACTGTGGTAAGGTACTCACAGAGTAAAACTTACCTCGTTATCGTGTTAAACGCAGAGAGAGACACCTACGTCCATTCACGTCGTACCTGCCCCACTGTCTGTTGGGGAGGGTCATTTAAAAATGTATTTTTTCTTTTAATTGGAGAATCCAGGTGTTCAGGTCTGTGCCTTCCCCAGGAGTGAGCCCTGGAGGGAGGTCAGTGGGCCTCCAACTGTTAGAATGTTCTCGTGGATGGATGCCACACCGAGGCTGCTTGTTCCCTCCTCGAGGAGCCCACAGCCTTCTCCCATCTCCGCAGATGGGTGTTGGCTGCTGCTGTCTGGGCCCCATGTGGCCGTGTGGAGCTCCTGGGGCGGCCTGCCCTCCCCTAGGGCCAAGCTGTGGGGAAGCTCTGCCTGGGAAGGAATCAGATGCAAACAAATGCTGAGCTCAGAGTGGAGTGGTGATCATTGGCCATGCTGTGTTGCCACTGAGTCATGTCTGTCCTGAAGGGTTGGTCAGGGATTTGGAGGGATTGTGCAGACAGTTCCTGCCTACATTTCTCGACCTGAGAAATTCTTGAGGCTCTGCTGTGTTTCCAAGTGCCATGCCTGAGGGGCGGGGGGAGCACCGGGTTGGGTGAGGGGCCCGTCCCTACATCCCTGAAGGTGTCCCCGCGTCTGATGACCTGTTCTTTTCCTTTGCAGGAACAGCTCTCCGACACACCCGGTGGAGACCCTGCCCCTGAGCAACGATGTAAGTGTCTGCAGCCGGGCTCTCTGGCTGCACATCCCTGGGCAGACCCGGCGCGGTCGTTTCAGGACCCTTCCTCTCTCTCTGCCTGCAGCACCTGCTCCCATCAGCCTCCATCCAGGATGCCCAGCAGTGGCTCCACCGAAACAGGTTCTCACAGTTCTGTCGGCTGTTCGCCAGTTTATCAGGTGAGCATCTTTGTGTTGTTTTTCAAACCCACAGGGATCTTAAAAACACGTAACAAAGCCACTCGCTTTTCAGGATTTGCCGCAGTGTCTGCAGGGCCGTGGTTTTGCCCTGGAGACCCGGTGTAGCGTGGGTCACTCACCTCTGCTGACCCTGTGCCAAGTGCTAAGATACGAATTGCTACTGCTGGGAGTTTCCAGTCGAGAATGGCTTTCAGGAGACCATCTGGGTCCTGTGGGGGGTGCCCTCAACTGCCCGGGAAGAGGCCCTTTAGCCAGGGGGCCGGGGCATACTCCGCCTTCCCGGCACTTCTACCACAGTGCTGCCCATTGGTCACATTGTCTCTGGAGCCACGACCTTTGAGAAGGTGGTGAAGCCACAGGGGAGAAGGAGAAGCTGGTTCTTCCTTCTCTGAAAGGTTCTTCAAGCCCTTCCTGGTGGGGCTGTCACACAGAGTCCTGGAACCAGGGCTGTGGGGTGGAAGGGTATACTGAGCAATGAACTTTGCGACCAAGTCAAGTTAATCCAGGATGACAGGGAGTGATGTTTTGACCAGAACTAGGGCAGTGGCTGGCAAGGGCATCTGTGACAGTGGGAAGAATACCGCACATGGTCTTCTTTCAGCTCAGCTTTTGTAAGAACTTGTGTTGGGGGTGGCCAGTAGGAGGAGGGTCGGACAGGGACCCTGTCCTCCAGCAGTTTGCAGCTTTGAGTCCACACAGATGTGCGAACCACACAATTCCATGCAGTGTGACCCTGGGGTGGTGGGCAGGCTCAGAGGAGGGGCCTGGCTTGGGTCAGGGAGGAGCAGGGAGGGAGGCTGCCATTTTAGTGGGGGTGCTCAGGGTGGGCCTTCCTGAGAAGGTGGCCTTAAGCAGAGGCTGGGCTGAGGGGAGGAAGTGAGCCAAGTAGGGATGGGGGAACTGTGAGATGTCCGAGCAGGGTTATGTGCAAAGGCCACAAGGTGGGGCCTGCCTGGTGTGGCCACAGAGCAGAGCACCCAGGTGAGCGAGGCCAGGTGGACTGGAAAAGGAGGTGAGGTCACAGAGGTCCTGGGGGCCTGAGAGAACAGTGGAGGGATTTTGGCTTTTACTTGTTACTTAGGGGGAGCCCCTGTGCTTACAAAATTATGCCTGAAAGTGTATCTTTTTAAAATTTAAATTTAGAGAGTAAGGAGGAGAGGCAGAGGGAGAAGCAGACTCCCTGTGGAGCAGGGAGCCTGACATGGGGTTCAATATCAGGACCCTGGGATTGTGACCTGAGCTGAAGGCAGCTGCTTAACTGACTGAGCCACCCAGGCATCCCACTGAAACTGTGTCTTAAGTAGGGCAGGAAAAAGGGGTTGGATATTTTCACTTCTGACCATGTGGCTGCTGGCTGGCTTCGGCAGAAAGCTCATCTCATACTTATCCCTTGGAGAGTCCATATGGGCACAAGGTTCTAGGGGATTCCTTAGGCTTTGTGGAAGGGACTGCATCCATGGACAAGGATGTTCATAGACCTTTGTTCATAATCACTCCCAGCTGGGAGCAACTCTAGTGCCCATTGGCAGAGTAGACATGTGACTGTGGTATATTCATGCAACGAATAATGTCTAATAACGGGCATGAATGATCTCTGACCACAGCCAGCATGAGTGAGCCCTGAAACATTTTGGAGGGAGGGAGCCAAACATAGGAAAGCGTATCCTATTCCATTCCACTTATGTAAATGTCAAAGAAGCAAGCAAAATGGAGACATGTGAGGAGTCAGGACAGTGGTTCCCCAGAGGAGGGGGAGTGGCTGGCACGAGGGGCCTGTGTGTGGCGGGGGAATGCTCTGCCCCTTGTTCTGTGTGTGGGGAGTATGGGTGCCTTCACCGTGGCTGCAGCCTGTGGGTCGTGCTCTTCTGCATGTAGCAGGTGCATGTGTAACCGGCGTCCTGGGCTAGGTTACATGCACTTGTTAGTGCCAGTAAACAGCAGGGGGAGGGACAGGCAGGCGGCGGTGGGGAGGGCCTGTTGGCTTTTGTAAATGCCTGTCTGTTCTCCTGAGCTTTGAGGATACTGTTCATCTCTTGGGCTGTGATTTTCTGATGTTTAGCTTTTTGTTCTCTCCGTGGACCGTCCGGTGCCCTCTGAGGATGAGGTGGACGCTTCCCTGTCCCCTGCCCACACAGTGCAACATCTGCAGGTGCCTGAGGACGGAACCGTGTGTCCCACTGATGGGTGGCCCCATTTACTTGCCTAGGTGCTGACTTGCTGAAGATGTCTCGAGACGATTTGGTCCAGATCTGTGGCCCTGCAGATGGGATCCGGCTCTTCAATGCCATCAAAGGCCGGTGGGTGTCAGTTTCCAGCTGGAGGCCGGGTATGGCAGGAAGCCCCGTCGCAGCCTCTTCAATGCTGCCGTATGGGCCGGCTGGTGGGGTCAGGGCTCCTCTGGGAGCAGGTGCAAGAGGAGGCCCTGTGAGATGGGATCAGGGCCATGCGGGTGGGCGGGGCTGAGCCCGCCACAGTTCACCCTGCCGGGAGCCCCTCCCCCTTCTTGGTTTGGCAGGATCCTTGGCCCTGGATCCCAGCCCCTCAGCCTCTCCTCAGCTGCTTGCATGGTCCTGGGTTTCCAGCTCTCTCCTCCCAGAGGAAGGTGTGGGACTGTGTGGCAGTTCTCGGTTCTCCAGGCAGACAGGAGAGCAGGGCCAGGTCTGAGGGGGCTTCCTGCTGTGGTGGATGTGTTTGGGGCCATGCTGTGCAGTCCAGCAGCCCCGGCCACGTGTGGCTGTGGAGCGCTTGATCTCAGGTTGATTTGACTGGCCAAGTGAGCTGCAAATCTCATTTACCCTTCACAGATGGACAGCACAGTTCTAGAGTGAAAGAGAGAGCCTGGGTGTGACTCTTGGGTCTGCCTCTTAGGATTTTTACACTAGACAAAAGCGCCTAACCTCTGTGATGAGTCTCGGTTCCCTTCTCTATAAAATGAGGGCCATGGTTCCAGTCTCCCTAGGTGGTGTGAGGATGAGATAATGTAGGCATGTGAAGTTCTGGAAACAGTTCCCGGGCAGAGTAAGCTAGAGAAACTGTTTGCTCTTGTTACCACCCTGAAAAACGCCTATGTCTTGAGATGTGAGTTCTGAGCAGAGCGCTGTCATGGCAGCTTGCAGGACCCGGAGGGGTTGTCATCCCTCTGTCTCTGGGCAAGACTGCATGAAGCCATAGAAGCCCAGTGAAAGGCCTTGTGCATCCCTGTGGCCTCTTTTCTTCTGATTCCTTCACTGTGCTAGTTCCACCCTGTGTTTTGGAACATTCTGGAACAACAGAGCTTTGTCCCATTCCCTTGCGCCCCCCCCCCCCGCCACCACACACACACAATACCAATTTATTTCCTCTCCTCCTGCCAGGAATGTGAGGCCAAAGAGGACCATTTACGTCTGTCAGGAGCAGGAGCAGAACAGAGCACCCCTGCAGCAGAAGCGGGATAGTGGGGACAGCAGTCTGTGTGGTGAGTTGTGTGGAGCAGCCCAGGGCTGGTTATTGGGTGGCCAGGTAACAGGAAGACCTAGCACCAACACGAGTTCTCTTGCTGAGGACGTTTCCACTGATCCACCTCCATTCGTGCAGGATGAGTTTTGGTCAACATTCTCCTGGGATTGAAATGTTTAAGGTGGAAACTCTCTGCCAGAACACATGCTCCAGCTTCCTTGTTTCCTCCCTGGGGAGCAGGCCCAGAGAGAGGATGTGTTCCCCACAGCTGCTTAGCCACTCACGGGAGAACCAAGAGTCTGGCCTTCCGACTCCCAGGCTGGTGACAAGTGCTGCCCCATGGCCATAGTTCCTGGGGTTTTCCTTGAGCTGGAGAAGGCTTTCCCGTTTGGTGTGGCGGCTGCACGGGGGCTAAGGAGTAGAGATGCAGGACCCAGGGCACCTCAGGGCACGTGACTCTTTTGGGTTGGTAGTTTGGAGGCAGTTTACTGAGAGGACACAAGCCTTGAGGTCAACTGAGCCTGAACACCAGTGCAGGCTGTGCCACCTGTTGGCCATGTGGCCTCAGGCAGGGCTCTGGGGCCTGTACATCAGCTTCTGCACGTACAAAATACAGAGAACAATGCTCTGCCCAGGGGGATGAGGTTTTGGCGAGATAAGGCATGTAAAGCGAAGTGCCTTGCTTTTGACTGTGAGTGCTGAGGGTCTGACCACTGCCCACCTCAGGCCGCAGAGCCCGTGCTCCGTGTCTGCAGAGAGTGAGGGAGAGGCCCGTGTGCTTCTGCAGCTCCCGCCAGAGGAGATAGAGGCTCGCCAGGTCGCCATCCCCAGGGCTTCCTGCGTGCTCACCCACTCGCTTCTCCTGGCAGGGACCGTTGGCAGTGTTGTTTCACTGTAGGGTACACTGAGGCGCAGGCTGGATAACTGCCCCCAGGGGACAGTGTTGTACGTGGCAGAGCCGAGACCCAAACTTTTAGACCCTAGTTGCTGGCTTCTGAGCCCTCGTGTCTGGCCCCTGTACATTCCTGGAGAATGTCTAGGTCCTCCCCCTGCTTCTCAGCTGTTAACCTGTGAAGGACACATCCTGAACCCCAGGGTTTCCTGATCATGCAGAAAGGACAGCCTCGTGCACGGCACCTGCTCAGAGCAGGAGCTGTCCATGCACAGCTTGTGATTCACGCTGCAACGCTGGTGCTGCCCCTGCACACACCCCGAGGTCCCAGGACAGGTCTTGGTCTTGGTTCTAGTGTGGCTGAGTTGGGACTGGAGCCTGGGACTGCCTCCTCTGGAGCCTCGCGTTCCCCCAAACTGCCACCCACATGATCCTGGAGGAGAGGTGGCCAGGGAGGGGTTCAGAGGAGTGTCTGAGCCTTCAGCTGCTCCACGCATTCCTGGCAGCACCCACACTGAGCTGGGGGCGCAAAGGGCTGGTGACAGAAGGGTACAACGAAATGAACTGCCTGCAAGTTGTGTAGGTCTTTTGGGCTGGCCTGATTTGTTGGAGGAGTGAACTCAGAAGTGGAAGTGGCTCTGAAGCATTGAAAAGACACAAAAGTTCATTTGAATCTGTCATAGAAAGGGATCTTGGAAAAGAGCCCTGGTGTTCTAACCGGGGGTTCCTACGGGAGGGGCAGGGTGCAGTGGCCACATCCTCTGCCCAGTATCTGACAGCAGGCCAGCCTGCCTGAAGTCGTGGGATGGCGGGTCGGCCACGTGGCTGGAAGGCCATGGCCTCTGCCAACCCCTTTGGGAGGGAGTCTGTGTTGGGAAGTGCGCATGTGCATACATGTGTGCTTCTGAAGTACAGGGCCTCTCATCAGCCACTGCAACCGAAGGTTCCTCAGTTGAGGTAGGAGTTTGGGAATCTCTAGTTTAATCCAGGTGCTTTGCCTTTGAGGGATTTGGGGCCCCCCAAGGGTCAAGTAATCCTCCTCCCTGGGGTGCCCACAGAGCTGACTCCTACCCAGCTAGTTTGGGTTTCCCGTAAGGAAGCATTTCCATCCTTGGGGTCACTGTTATCTTCCACCAGGCAGGCGATGCTCCCAGCGCCCCTCTGCCCTTTGTGGTCACAGTACTGGAGCAGAGGAGTATTTGTGCTGCAGAGAAGGGCAAGGATGAGACACATGTGCCGTCAAGTAGCAGTTACCCCTTGCAGAGAAGGGAACCCCCCTCCCTACACTGTTGGTGGGAATGCAAGCTGGGGCAGCTACTCTGGAAAACAGTATGGGGTTTCCTCAGAAAGTTAAAAATAGAGCTACCCTATGACCCAGCAATTGTACCAGTAGGTATTTATCTGAAGGATACAAACATAGTGATTCAAAGGGGCACCTGCACCCCAGTGTTTATAGCAGCGATGTCCATAATAGCCAAACTATGGAAAGAGTCCAGATGCTCATCAACAGATGAATGGATAAAGATGATGTGTTTTGTAAACACACATGCACACACTCTGGAATATTACTCAGCCATCAAAAAGAATGAAATCTTGCCATTTGCAATGATGTGGATGGAGCAGAGGGTTGTTATGCTGGGTGAAATAAGTCAATCAGAAAGAATTATATGACTAACTCATGTGGAATTTAAGAAACAGCTGATGAATGTAGGGGAAGAGAGAAAAATAAAATAAGACAAAATCAGAGAAGGAGACAAACCATAAGAGATTCTGAACTCTAGGAAACAGTTAAACGGAGAGTTGCTGGAAGGGAGGGGTTGGGGGGATGGGGTAACTGGGTGATGGGCATTAAGGAGGACATGTGATGTGATGAGCACTGGGTGTTACTACAACTGATGAATCATTGAACTCTACTTCTGACACTAATAATATACTATGTGTTAATTTATTTTAAATAAATTTAAAAAGAAGTAGCAGTTATCCTTAAATCCTGTGCTTTGCCCCCAGGAGCCATCCAGCGTCCCCGCTAAGCCACGGAAAGGATGCAGAGTCTCTCCTCTCCCCTGCAAGGGTGTGCGTCTGGCCACACATCAGAATCACTAGAAGCTAATTAGAAATACAGAGCTCTGCCAGCAGTTCTTCCTCCAGCCTCCACTCCTCCACGGGTGTCATTGGGTGTGGGGTGGATGCAAGAATTCCCGATTTTATGTAAGATTCCCCCAAGAGAGACTGGTACAGGAATGAAGAACCATAGCCTGGCTGCTTTGCCCCTGTGGTTGGGCTCTGCAGAGGCTTTGTGCCTGTTGCAGCCAGATCCCATCGAATGAGTCTGGGCATGAGCATCCTTACAGCGGAGTGACTGATTTGGGAGTTGGGTATGAGGGGTAGGCAGGCTCCTTAGGAGCAGGAGTGTGTTCTACAGAAGGCCCTGTCCCTTGCCCTCCAGTGTACCATGCCATCTTCTTGGAAGAGCTGACCACCTTGGAGCTGGTTGAGAAGATCGCCAACCTGTACAGCATCTCCCCGCAGCACATCCACCGAGTCTACCGGCAGGGCCCCACAGGCATCCACGTGGTGGTGAGCAACGAGGTGAGCGCTGTCCCCACCCCTGCTCCTGGCCCCGGGCTCCGGGCTGTAGGGAGGCACAGCAACAGGTGCCAGAAATGCCCCCTCTGGGGCTTGGGGAGGAGGACTTATGCCCCAAGATGGCCAACGGGTTTCAGCTGTGTGCCACATGCTCTTGGCTGCCCTTGAGTGCAGGTGGAGAGAGTTCTGAGGCTCTGAGAGGCTGTCTAGTATCCACTCCATACCCCATCCCCGGCCAGGCGCCATGTAGGAACCATGGCGCAAACTGCACCCCTGCCCTCAGGGTGTAAGGTTGCAGGTCCCAGGGGCAGTGGAATGGACCATGGACTGGATGATGGAGAGGACACAGGTCACATGGGAGGACAGAGCCCTCCTCTGCTGACCACTGAAGGTACCACAGCCTTCCTGGGTCTGCCCTTGCCTGCACAGACCTGTGCGGGACACCAGCAGCCGATGGCCGAGGGCAGAGTGATCCGATCCCACTCCTGGCTAGGGAGGGTTTGCAGCTGCATTTAGGCATTCCTGCTCATTGTAGAGCAGAGTCTCTTAAGCTTCTTTTATCCTGGAATCCTCCTCTTGCTGATAATAGCCAGGAGTGGCAGCATTTATCCACTGCTTCCTGTCCTAAATGCACATGTAGTGACTCTTGTAATCCTGACAGCCTCACTCTGAACTGGGTGAAATCTCATTTCACAGATAGGAAACTGAGATGCAGAGAGGCTGAGTAATTGCCCCAGGTTGCACACCTCGTAAGGGGTGGAGGTAGGGGGGAGCGCTGGGGGAGCCCAGAGCCCATGCTTCTAGCTGCCAGGTTAGTCCACCTCCCCTGAAATGAGGCCTCAGGAAAACAGCTGGGCTGATGGGACAGGGGTGGCCCCCTTAGCCCCCAGCAGACCCCAGCAAGCCCATTGTGGGAACTCTGAGAGCATCTGTGTAGAGGACCGTAGATGAAGTGGGACATGAATGGCGTCTAGGGAAGTAGAGAAGATGTGGGCTCTGGAATCAGACATGTGTCCCCACCCAGACCTTACTCCTAGGGGTAGAGTGACCCTGGGCAGATTTACTTAACACTTTTGAACCTGTTTCTGCATCTATAAAATGGATAATTAACCCACTGAACAGGTTGTAGTTAGGATAAAATGAGAAAAGAGAAAACAGCCTCAGGCACCGAGAGACACCAGGGAACGGTGTGATGCTGGTAACTGACAGTGCTGGTGCTTTTGACTTTTGAGAGCAAGTGTTGTAGAGATCTTTAAGTTTGACAGTGTATAAAACGTAAGGCTTCTAACAGTCTCTGTGTTTTCATATATTGTCATTATTGGTGATAATCCTATTGCCACTTGTCATTACAATTGCCTGAGCCCCTTAAATGGAAGTCCCCCATTTCATGGGAGTTTGGTCCTAAAAGTTGGCAAAGCGGTGGTGGTTTCCTTCTTCTTGAATTAAAAAGTAATTCACCAGGTGCCTGGCTGGTTCAGTCGGTGGAGCATGAGACTCTTGATCTTGGGGTTGTGAGTTCGAGCCCCATGTTGGGTGCAGAGATTACCTAAAAATAAAAAATAAAAAAATCTTAAAAAAAACAACAACCCAGTAATTCAGTTAGTGTAAGTCAAGAAGTATAAAACAGCTGAAGGCAAATGTGAAAGGCACTTCTCTTCCTTACTCTTTTCCTGGAGGAGTTTATATTAGCTTTGATGTGATTTTGTCAGAGGACGCTTGCTGGCATCCGTCGTGTGCCTGAGCACTGTGTAGGTGTGGATTCTCAAAACACACATCAGAGTTCCAGCTGTACATTTATCTGCCACTTGTTAGTTTTTGTCACCAGTTCAGAATTTCTTCTGTATCCTTGCATTGAGATCTCAGACAGCTGTTTTTCCAGCCCCCACCTCACAGACAAAACGAAGCCCAGAGTTCTTGACCTAAGCACTCCCTTGGGAATAGCCAGGGAGGTTAAGACACCGGCACAATGGGCTGCTGCATGGCACAGGAAAGTTGTCACTTTGCACTTGGGCACGAATTTCTTTTGTGAAGACGAAAGCCAAGAATGTGCGGAACCCTTGCAACGTCACGGGTCCCTGCGGGAAGTCCCTTCCCCGGCTTGCCCTGGGCCCTCCAGAGTGGGCAGTTAAGCAAGTGAAGCAGAGAACAGAACCGAAATGCTACCTCAGCTAAGTAGGCGATTCTTATTCTCCGAAGTCTCCTTGCCTCTTAACCCTGAATCAATTGGAAACCTTTGGTTCTTAATTGCCCGGAGCGGTGGAGGCAGCCTGGCCAGCCGCAAAGCCGGCCCCTGAGGTGCAAGGGCACTTAATTAAACAAGAGAGTTACTGATTAAGCCCGTGTGGGCTCCATGTAGGGCTTTGCATGCCCAAGTGGCTGGGCTGCCAAGAGTCCAGGAGGGAGCAGGCCAGCAGTATAGAATAAATGTACTTCACGCATCATTAGGCCCGGCAGGGAGGGGCAGGGGTCCTCAGGTACATAGATTTGCAGGATTTGGGGCAGTAATCCAGAGGCGGCAATAAATGTGGATTGCATTTTTTTAATTTGCAAAGGAGTTTTGCTTTGTGGTAGCTAGCGTGTGTGTTGTGGGTATGTCTTTAAGTATTTTTGAAATACTCTTTCCATTTATATTGTGAAATATGGCATGTGTGTGCAAGGAGAATTATAAAACTTATTTTTACAGTTTAAGGAAGAGGTAAGTGCCCAATACTTTCGCTCAGGTTAATGAAGTATTATGTCAGCAGCCTCTTTGTGCCCTAATTTCCTTTTCCACACCACCTCCACCTGCTGCTCTGAATGTTGTATTCATTGTACCCTTTTCCTCCTCAATATATCATTTAATTTTGCCTAATTTAAAATTTCATGGAGGTGGAATAATAGCATGTTTTTCTGTGACTTCCATTTCCCTTTATATTTTTGAGAGTCACACATGTTGAAATGCTGCCGGAGGCCACTGGCATGCTGAATTAGGTCACAGTTTATTCATGCTCCTATTATTACTGATTGACATGGGGCTGTTTCCAGTTACTATTTTTTTCAAGTTTTTATGTAAGTAATCTCTGTACCTGATGGGCTCAGACTCAGCCCCAAGATCAAGAGTCGCATGCTCTTCACACTGAGCCAGCCAGGCGCCTCTGCAGTTACCGTTCCTAACAGTGTTGCTGGAAACATTCTTAGGTGTGCTTTGAGTTAGGCACATGCAGGGGTTTATCTAGAACACTGGGCTGGAGGAGTAATGTAGTAGGTCCCGTGGACAGCTTTGTAAAGTGGTTGTATAGATTAACACTCCACTAGCCGTGGGTGCCGATTCCTGATGTTCTGGTGCCAATTCCTAACATTCTGTATCCTGGTTCTGTTCTTTTGTCACGGAAGCAGCCCCATTTTATAGATGGGGCATGGAGCCCAGAAGGGAAAAGGTCGACTTGTCTGAAGTCACCCGGTAGTTCATCAAAATGGAACCTGCAGAGAGGCGGCTGGGGAATCCTTCCATTCCTGCCACTTGGCCGATGGAGGGAGTGGCGCTGTGTTTATATTGGTCCTCGTAGGACTCTGATATGCAGAGGCCGCTAACTCCCAAGATGTTTTTTTTTCCTTTTTCAAAGCACTTTAGTTTTTAACTTGTTGCCGTCGTACACATACATGCTCCTGTAATGTGTCCATTATAGGGATAGGAGGACCCAGTAAAGTAGGAAAAATGAAAACGAAAGCAAACGTGGAGTCCCGTGGTAAATACTAACATTTTGCTTCCCTTCCTGGCTCCTTTCTGTCGTTTATGTTCAGTTTTTGTTACTTACAACTATAATCAGTTCATATATTTATCTTGTTTTGTGTTTCCTTGGTGAGTGTTAAGTGTGACCCTCTTCCTGCATCTGTACAAACACAGTGGCTGGGATCCGTGTGGTCAAGGCTTTCCATATTATGAACTCATTGTCGAAGGGACGTGGTCTCTCTTTTGCCTTTCAGATGGTGCAGAATTTCCAAGATGAGTCTGTTTTATCCTCAGTACCTTAAAAGGTAAAGCCCCCCTCCTTTTTTTCTTGTTTAATTAAAGTATGTTGGCTGTGCCTCCTGCCCCATCCCTGAGTAGTAGAGTGAGGAGACACCCAAACTGGTGAGTGGGGCCGGCCTCCCTGCCTGCACGGTGGGTCCCTTGAGAGAACGTTATCTGAGGACATCCTCTGGGGAAAAGGTGAAACGTGGTCCTGGAAATGTGAGGACTATTGAGATCTGCTCCAACGTCAGTTCTGAAAGGCAAACCCTGGCCAGGCAATGTGATTTTCCTGGTGCTTGAGTAGACGTAACTCGGTGCTTGAGTAGAAGTAAGATGCGCTTGGGTTTTTCTACAATGAAGGTCTCCAGGAGGAGCAAGTGTGGAATAGAACAGCTGAGCCTGCAGGCCTAGTGGGGTGTCAGGGATATGGGGCGAGGGGCGGGACATGAAGCTTCCACCTGAGGACAGGTCTCAGAAGGAACTCATGTGCCAGGAGAAAGGAAAGACTAGCTGTAGCCTTCCTTAGGGCCAGGGCAGGTGAATGTATGGGGTATATCAGAATGAAAGCCCTGTATGACTGGGTCAGAGACCCTGAACGGTGGCAGGGCCATTCCTGTCCTCCTTGTTCTGGATCTAGCCAGTAACTGCCTTCAGAGAGCTGGGGACCGTAATACCCTGAGAACCACAGTGTGGTTCCAAAGCCTTCTTGGATATTATAGAGCCTTTAGTTCTTGGGCCTGGGGCTACGGTAGAAAGACCCATTGCCAAAAAGAAACTCAATAAGGCAGAAGGCATGTGAAGGCATGTGCTAAAATACCTGTGTTTGTTAGCGCTCTCTGCAGTTGTATTCGGAGCCAGTATTGGTGGCAGGACTTCCGCTGGTACTCAAAGGCCATGCGCTCCCTAACACCCCAAGGTTATGGCGTCGGGCCTTTCTTCCTGTAAAATGCCCTTGTCTCCCTTGGCAGCCGAGAGCAACGATGGCTACCACATCATCCTGAAGTGTGGCCTCCGAGCAGAAGTAGAGTGTGTAAGCCAGAGCCTCCCACTCCCAGCACCGTGGATTCCTTTGGATGTAGAACCTGCACCACCGTAAGCTTCGGCCTCACCTGGCAAGCTGTGACTGGGAGGGACTTGGCCCAGTCTGTGGCAGCCATGGACCAGTAACCAGCGGGAACCTGTGGATGCGGTCTCTGGCACGCAGAAAGCCAATGGCTCCTCTCTCCTTCCTCTTGACCTCCAGCTTTTGAGCGGTTCCTTGTTCTTTGCCTGCTATCCTAAAGAGGCAAATGGCAGGGCATCTTCTCTGAAACCCCTCAGTCCCTTGTTGGAGGCTGGTTCACTGGGTATCTTGGTGCCACTGTATCCTTCTGACTACTCCCCTGCCTCCAGGGAAAGCCCTGCCTCCCGTCAGCCGTCATCTTCTCTGGTGACCAGGACTGTTGACTGGGTAACTTGCCACCATTCTACCTTCACGTTGGTTTCCCTTCTCAGCGGCCCTCATGAGTGTCTGTCTTTCTGGTTCTTGGATGGATCGATGGGAATGGGGTTTATTCTGTGCCTTCTGCTTCTTCCACCTTGACTCTTGTTTCTAAGGACCTGTTGCCATAATGCCCAGAGATGGGCTCACCTGTCTCTGCGTTGGTCATGTAGACACCACAACGCATGTGTAGGACCTGCCACACATACCTAGGTCTACGCCCTTGGGAGGGAGAGGGAGAGGATGGAGTAACTATTTTCTGGTACATTCTCACAAGTGTAAAAGGGATGAGAACAAAATGTTTTTTTTTTCTTGAGCTCCTTTCATATGATTTTATTTCCTCAGCAATCATGGGTAAGGAGGACTAGGAAATGAGCATCCCACTGTGCAGTCACATGACCTTGATAGTCATGGTAGCGGGCTCTTGTGCGTGGACTTAACCAACTAAGTCTCATTTAGAGAAGACCTTGATTAACACTGCCAAACTTTGTCTCTACTGTGAGGGTCCCCATTTAAATGTTTATCTTTTTTCATTTGATAGAGGGAGTGTTAGGGCATTTTGCTTGCACTGGGATGGTTGGATCGTCTCTCTTAGTGGCTTGACTATGGGGAAACTTGAGTACGGGTAAGCTCAGGAATTTGTCTTTGTCTTGTGTCTGTTTCCTGGGACCCAGTGATCTACATACTCTTAGCTAACTTAGGTTTATCTTCGAAAGCACAGGGAGGCTGTATGATCAGCTGAGCAGGATTTTACAACTTCTAAAGTGGAGCTTTTGGGGAATATAGTGTTAGGGTCAAAGATGATCAGAACTGGGTAGACCTTGTTTTACAGATGACACTGAAAGCCGAGAGGGGCAGAGCCACCTGCCCGATACCACGTAGTGATAGGGCAGTGATAGATATTTATCATATAAATCACTTCAGAGGGCAAAAAGGGTGCTTTTGTAATGATGATGTTGGGACGACAGGTGTGGTGTTTCTCTAGAGTAAAGCAGCCTCCTGATTCCTTTTCTGTCTTGGGGGAGGGTGGGGGAGCAGGTAATAGCTTTACTGAGATAAAATTCACATAGCATGCAGTGTACCCATCTAGAGTATACTACTCTGTGGTTTTTAGTGAATTCACAGAATCAGCACATTCAGTTTGAGAACATTTTCCTTCCCCCACCCCCAAAAAGAAACCCTACTCCTTTTAGTGATCATCTTCCCTCTCTCCTCACAACTAGCTTGGTCTTAGGCAACCATGATCCTCCTTTCCATACTGATTTTTTTTAAGATTTTATTTACTTATTCATGAGAGATACAGAGAGAGAGGCAGAGACACAGGCAGAGGGAGAAGCAACCTCCTCTAGTGGAGCCTGATGTGGGACTCAATCCCGGGACCCTGGGACCATGCCCTGAGCCAAAGGCAGATGCTCAACCACTAAGCCACCCAGGCGTCCCTCCATATTGATTTACCTATTCTGGACCTATCACGTAAATGGAATCACAGTGGCCTTTTGTTGCTGGCTTTGTTTTTTTACTAGCGTAATGTTTTCTAGGGTCTTCCATGTTGAACATGTGTCCACACTTCAATTCTTTTTATAGCCGAATAATGTTTCATTCTATGGCTATACGTACCATATTTTGTTTAACCACTCACCAGTTGATCGACGTATGAGTTGTTTCTACTTCTTGGCTAGTATGACTGATGCTGCTATGAACATAGTTGTACAAGTTTTTACATACACATATGTTTTCATTTCTTTTGGGTGTATACCTAGGAGTGGAATTCCTGGGTCATATAGAACTCTGTGATTTTTTTTTTGTTTTTTTTTAATAAATTAATTTTTATTGGTGTTCAATTTACCAACATACAGAATAACACCCAGTGCTCATCCCGTCAAGTGTCCCCTCAGTGCCCGTCACCCATTCACCCCCACCCCCGCCCTCCCCCCCTCCACCACCCCTAGTTCATTTCCCAGAGTTAGAAGTCTTTATGTTCTGTCTCCCTTTCTGATATTTCCCACACATTTCTTCTCCCTTCCCTTATATTCCCTTTCACTATTATTCATATTCCCCAAATGAATGAGAACATACACTGTTTGTCCTTCTCCGATTGACTTACTTCACTCAGCATAATACCCTCCACTTCCATCCACGTTGAAGCAAATGGTGGGTATTTGTCGTTTCTAATGGCTGAGGAATATTCCATTGTATACATAAACCACATCTTCTTTATCCATTCATCTTTCGATGGGCACCGAGGCTCCTTCCACAGTTTGGCTATTGTGGACATGGCTGCTAGAAACATCGGGGTGCAGGTGTCCCGGCGTTTCATTGCATCTGAATCTTTGGGGTAAATCCCTAACAGTGCAATTGCTGGGTCGTAGGGCAGGTCTATTTTTAACTCTTTGAGGAACCTCCACACAGTTTTCCAGAGTGGCTGCACCAGTTCACATTCCCACCAACAGTGTAAGAGGGTTCCCTTTTCTCCGCATCCTCTCCAACATTTGTTGTTTCCTGCCTTGTTAATTTTCCCCATTCTCACTGGTGTGAGGTGGTATCTCATTGTGGTTTTGATTTGTATTTCCCTGATGACAAGTGATGCAGAGCATTTTCTCATGTGCATGTTGGCCATGTCTATGTCTTCCTCTGTGAGATTTCTCTTCATGTCTTTTGCCCATTTCATGATGGGATTGTTTGTTTCTTTGCTGTTGAGTTTAATAAGTTCTTTATAGATTTTGGAAATTAGCCCTTTATCTGATATGTTATTTGCAAATATCTTCTCCCATTCTGTAGGTTGTCTTTGAGTTCTGTTGACTGTATCCTTTGCTGTGCAAAAGCTTCTTATCTTGATGAAGTCCCAATAGTTCATTTTTGCTTTTGTTTCTTTTGCTTTCGTGGATGTATCTTGCAAGAAGTTACTGTGGCCGAGTTCAAAAAGGGTGTTGCCTGTGTTCTCCTCTAGGATTTTGATGGAATCTTGTCTCACGTTTAGATCTTTCATCCATTTTGAGTTTATGTTTGTGTATGGTTCAAGAGAGTGGTCTAGTTTCATTCTTCTGCATGTGGATGTCCAATTTTCCCAGCACCATTTATTGAAGAGACTGTCTTTCTTCCAGTGGATCAGTCTTTCCTCCTTTATCGAATATTAGTTGACCATAAAGTTCAGGGTCCACTTCTGGGTTCTCTATTCTGTTCCATTGATCTATGTGTCTGTTTTTGTGCCAGTACCACACTGTCTTGATGACCACAGCTTTGTAGTACAACCTGAAATCTGGCATTGTGATGCCCCCAGATATGGTTTTCTTTTTTAAAATTCCCCTGGCTATTCGGGGTCTTTTCTGATTCCACACAAATCTTAAAATAATTTGTTCTAACTCTCTGAAGAAAGTCCATGGTATTCTGATAGGGATTGCATTAAATGTGTAGATTGCCCTGGGTAACATTGACATATTCACAATATTAATTCTGCCAATCCATGAGCATGGAATATTTTTCCATCTCTTTGTGTCTTCCTCAATTTCTTTCAGAAGTGTTCTGTAGTTTTTAGGGTATAGATCCTTTACCTCTTTGGTTAGGTTTATTCCTAGGGATCATATGCTTTTGGGTGCAATTGTAAATGGGATTGACTCCTTAATTTCTCTTTCTTCAGTCTCATTGTTAGTGTATAGAAATGCCATTGATTTCTGGGCATTGATTTTGTATCCTGCCACGCTACCAAATTGCTGTATGAGTTCTAGCAATCTTGGGGTGGAGGACTTTTGGGTTTCCTATGTAGAATATCATGCCTTCAGCAAAGAGGGAGAGTTTGACTTCTTCTTTGCCAATTTGAATGCCTTTAATGTCCTTTTGTTGTATGATTGCTGAGGCTAGGACCATGTTGAATAGCAGTGGTGAGAGTGGACATCCCTGTCTTGTTCCTGATCTTAGGGGAAAGGCTCCCAGTGCTTCCCCATTGAGAATGATATTTGCTGTGGGCTTTTCATAGATGGCTTTTAAGATGTCAAGGAAAGTTCCCTCTATCCCTACACTCTGAAGAGTTTTGATCAGGAATGGATGCTGTATTTTGTCAAATGCTTTCTCTGCATCTAATGAGACGATCATATGGTTCTTGGTTTTTCTCTTGCTGATATGATGAATCACACTGATTGTTTTACGAGTGTTGAACCGGCCTTGTGTCCCAGGGATAAATCCTACTTGGTCATGGTGAATAATTTTCTTAATGTGTTTTTGGATCCTATTGGCTAGTATCGTTGAGAATTTTTGCATCCATGTTCATTAGGGATATTGGTCTGTAATTCTCCTTTTTGGTGGGGTCTTTGTCTGGTTTTGGAATTAAGGTGATGCTGGCCTCATAGAATGAATTTGGAAGTACTCCATCTCTTTCTATCTTTCCAAACAGCTTTAGTAGAATAGGTATGATTTCTTCTTTAAACGTTTGATAGAATTCCCCTGGGAAGCCATCTGACCCTGGACTCTTGTGTCTTGGGAGGCTTTTGATGACTTCTTCAATTTCCTCCCTGGTTTTTGGCCTGTTCAGGTTTTCTATTTCTTCCTGCTCCAGTTTTGGTAGTTTGTGGCTTTCCAGGAATGCGTCCATTTCTTCTAGATTGCCTAATTTATTGGCGTAGAGCTGTTCATAATATGTTTTTAAAATCGTTTGTATTTCCTTGGTGTTGGTAGTGATCTCTCCTTTCTCATTCATGATTTTATTAATTTGAGTCTTCTCTCTCTTCTTTTTAATAAGGTTGGCTAATGGTTTATCTATCTTATTAATTCTTTCAAAGAACCAACTCCTGGTTCTATTGATCTGTTCCACAGTTCTTCTGGTCTCAATTTCATTGAGTTCTGCTCGAATTTTAATTAACTCTCTTCTTCTGCTGGGAGTCGGGTCGATTTGCTGCTTCTTCTCTAGCTCCTTTATGTGTAAGGTTAGCTTTTGTATTTGAGTTCTTTCCAGTTTTTGAATGGATGCTTGTATTGCGATGTATTTCCCCCTCAGGACTGCTTTTGCTGCATCCCAAAGATTTTGAACGGTTGTATCTTCATTCTCATTAGTTTCCATGAATCTTTTTAATTCTTCCTTAATTTCCTGGTTGACCCTTTTATCTTTTAGCAGGATGGTCCTTAACCTCCACGTGTTTGATGTCCTTCCAAACTTCTTCTTGTGATTGAGTTCTAATTTCAAGGCGTTATGGTCTGAGAATATGCAGGGGACGATCCCAATCTTTTGGTATCGGTTCAGACCCGATTTGTGACCCAGTATGTGGTCTATTCTGGAGAAAGTTCCATGTGCACTTGAGAAGAATGTGTATTCAGTTGAGTTTGGATGTAAAGTTCTGTAGATATCTGTGAAATCCATCTGGTCCAGTGTATCATTTAAAGCTCTCGTTTCTTTGGAGATGTTGTGCTTAGAAGACCTATCGAGGGTAGAAAGAGCTAGATTGAAGTCACCAAGTATAAGTGTATTATCATCTAAGTATTTCTTCACTTTGGTTAATAATTCGTTTAAGTATTTGGCAGCTCCCACATTCGGGGCATATATATTGAGGATTGTTAAGTCCTCTTGCTGGATAGATCCTTTAAGTATGATATAGTGTCCCTCTTCGTCTCTCACTACAGTCTTCGGGGTAAATTTTAGTTTATCTGATATAAGGATGGCTACCCCTGCTTTGTTTTGAGAACCATTTGAATGGTAAATGGTTCTCCAACCTTTTATTTTCAGGTTGTAGGTGTCCTTCTGTCTAAAATGAGTCTCTTGTAGACAGCAAATAGATGGGTCCTGCTTTTTTATCCAGTCTGAAACCCTGCGCCTTTTGATGGGGTCATTGAGCCCGTTCACGTTCAGAGTTACTATTGACAGATATGAGTTTAGTGTCATCATGATATTTATTTAGTCCTTGTTTTTGTGGATTGTTCCACTGAACTTCTTCTTACAGGGGAATTTTAAGAGTCCCCCTTAAAATTTCTTGCAGAGCTGGTTTGGAGGTCACATATTCTTTCAGTTCCTGCCTGTCTTGGAAGCTCTTTATCTCTCCTTCCATTTTGAATGAGAGCCTTGCTGGATAAAGTATTCTTGGTTGCATGTTCTTCTCATTTAGGACCCTGAATATATCCTGCCAGCCCTTTCTGGCCTGCCAGGTCTCTGTGGAGAGGTCTGCTGTTACCCTAATATTCCTCCCCATGAAAGTCAGGGACTTCTTGTCTCTTGCTGCTTTAAGGATCTTCTCTTTATCTTTGGAATTTGCAAGCTTCACTATTAGATGTCGAGGTGTTGGACGGTTTTTATTGATATTAGGGGGGGATCTCTCTATTTCCTGGATCTGAATGCCTGTTTCCCTTCCCAGATTGGGAATGTTTTCAGCTAGGATTTGTTCAAATACATATTCTGGCCCTCTGTCCCTTTCGCCGCCCTCGGGAACCCCAATTAAACGTAGGTTTTTCTTCCTTAGGCTGTCATTTATTTCCCTTAATCTGTCTTCATGGTCTTTTAATTGTCTGTCTCTTTTTTCCTCAGTTTCCCTCTTTGCCATCAACTTGTCTTCTATGTCACTCACTCGTTCTTCCACCTCGTTAACCCTCGTCGTTAGGACTTCTAGTTTGGATTGCATCTCATTCAATTGATTTTTAATTTCTGCCTGATTGGATCTAAATTCTGCAGTCATGAAGTCTCGTGAGTCCTTAATGCTTTTTTCTAGAGCCACCAGTAGCTGTATAATAGTGCTTCTGAATTGGCTTTCTGACATTGAATTGTAATCCAGATTTTGTAACTCTGTGGGAGAGAGGGCTGTTTCTGATT